CTTCCTGAACTCATCGCTCCTCAGCTGCAGGAGGACGGATCACTGTTTAGGGAGCTGCTCCCCCATCCACCCAACCCCCCTGCATCCAGACCCCCTTATATCCAGACCCACCCACCGAGCCTCACCTCCCCCCCCCGCACCCAGAACCTCCCCCGATGAGCCCCACTCCCCCTGCACCTGGACCACCTCGACGAGCCACCTCCACCCTACGAGCCCCAACCAGCTGCACATGGATCCCCACCCCACTGAGCCCCTCTCCCCCAGCATCTGGAACCCCCACTGAGCCCCCCACACCCAGACCTCCTGGCTGAGCTCTATCCCCCCACACCTAGACACCCCCTCACTTAGCCTCAACCACCTTCAGCTGGACTCCCCTGTAGAGTCCCACTACCATTGCATCCAGAACCCCCCAACAAGCCCTTGTGGTTCCAGATCCCCAGCACCCAGATCCCCCACTGAACTGTCCACACCCAGATTGCCCCACACAGAACCCTCTCAACCCACAAATGTCAAAGGTTGGGTCGGGGTTTGTCTTTACCTGTGGTGTTGGTTGTATTGCCTCTGTGGTTGTGTGTATGGTGGTGACCTGAATCTCTGCGCATTATACCTGCCCTGTTTCTTCTTATTTGCAGGTGTATAGCTGTCCAGGGATTTTAGTGTTGCCCTTGAATCTTACAGGGTATGAAGGGACTTATCTATTTTGGCTGCAGATAGTTTTGGGGCTTCAAAGGACAGGTCCTTGACCGTTTCCTCACCTCTGTCAGGAACCCTGAAAGAGGGAACCATGATGCACGGTGCATGACCACCGATGTTGCAATGGAGCCTGCTGCCATGTCTGTGGAGTCAAGTGAGGCCTGCAGTGCTGTCCTGGCCATAGGCACTGTCTCCGTGGGTGCTCTGGGGCTGGAGCACCCATGGGGAAAAATTAGTGGGTGCTCTGCACCAACCAGCAGCCAAGCTCCCCTCCCTACCTCACCTCCTCCTCCCCTGAGCACGCCGTGTCTCCGCTCCTCCACCTACCTCCCAGTGCTTGCTGCTGCCAAACAGCTGTAGCAAGCTTCAGGAGGGAGGGGGAAGGAGCAGGAACATGGCATGCTCACGGGAGGAGGTGGGGCCAAGGCAGGGATTTGGGGAAGGAGTAGGAATTGGGGCAGGGAGGGGGTGAAGTTGGTGCGGGGACTTTGGGGAAGGGGTTGGAATGGGATCAGGGCAGGTCTGGGAGCAGAGGGGGGTCGAGCACCCACCAGCACCAGTAGAAGTCGGCGCCTATGAGTCCTGGCAATGAGATGACCTTCAGTAACGTTGGCCTTGAATTGCTCCTTTTTGTTTTCTGGTAAGCTATCAATAAATTCTGACATTATGGAAAATATTGTGTGTATTTTGATAGCAGGGCTTCATAATTAACTATTTGAAACTGCAATGTTGCAGATGACTATGCCCTGCAACCAAAGAGGTTTAGCCTCTTCCATTCCTTGTCATATGGGGTTGTTCTGGTGTGGTGTTGCCTTCCCCTCTCATTTACTGTGTCCACCACTAAAGAGTTTAGTGTGGGGTGTGTAAACAAGAACTCCATTCCTTTACATGGTACATAGTATTTTTTCAGATCTTTTGCATGATGGAGGTGCTGTTGCCGAGGTCTGCCAGATGGATTTTGGCAGGCTCCATGATAGCATCATGAATCGGTAGTGCTACCTTTGGCAAGGTAGATGTTTGAAACATGTCCAGTAATTTAAGTGGTGACTCAGGTACCTCCTCTAAGGATATATTCAGATGACTCCAGCCACCCTTTTGAAGAGCTCTTGGAATTGCATAAAGTCATCCCTGGTGGTGGGGGGGGAGTGGGGGCATTATAGTTTCGTCCGGTGATGAAGACGATAGGTTCATCAGTGGTAAGGCTTCCTGGTCTGAAGTTTCCTCAGTTTCCTCCTGGGTTTCTGAGGATCCTGGTATGGGTGATTGTCATAAATGTAAAGGGAAGGGTAAACCCCTTTAAAATCCCTCCTGGCCAGAGGAAAAATCCTCTCAGCTGTAAAGGGTTAAGAAGCTAAAGGTAGCCTCGCTGGCACCTGACCAAAATGACCAATGAGGAGACAAGATATTTTCAAAAGCTGGGAGGAGGGAGAGAAACAAAGGGTCTGTCTGTTGGTATGCTGCTTTGCCGGGGATAGAACAGGAATGGAGTCTTAGAACTTTTAGTAAGTAATCTAGCTAGGTATGTGTTAGATTATGATTTCTTTAAATGGCTGAGAAGAATTGTGCTGAATAGAATGACTATTTCTGTCTGTCTTTTTTGTAACTTAAGGTTTTGCCTAGGGGGGATTCTCTGTTTTGAATCTGATTACCCTGTAAGGTACTTACCATCCTGATTTTACAGGGGTGATTCCTTTACTCCTATTTACTTCTATTAAAAGTCTTCTTGTAAGAAAACTGAATGCTTTTTCATTGTTCTCAGATCCAAGGGTTTGGGACTGTGGTCACCTATGCAAATTGGTAAGGATTTTTACCAAACCTTTCTCAGGAAGTGGGGTGCAAGGGTTGGGAGGATTTTGGGGGGAAAGACGTGTCCAAACTATGTTTCCCAGTAAACCCAGTTAGAGTTTGGTGGTGGCAGTGGTTATTCCAAGGACAAAGGATAAAATTAATTTGTACCTTGGGGAAGTTTTAACCTAAGCTGGTAGAAGTAAGCTTAGGAGGTTTTCATGCAAGTCCGCACATCTGTACCCTAGAGTTCAGAGTGGGGGAGGAACCTTGACAGTGATGATGGAGAATGTGGTGCTCTCAATCTTGGTGGGCTTGCAATATAAAGGGCCCTGTATGCTGTCCAGGGGTCCCAGTAGTGCCAATCTGATGGGAATGGCATGGGAGGTGGCACCCATGGGTGCCTGTACCAGCTAGGTGCCTCTGAAGATGAGTGGTGTCCTGTTTGGTGGGACTGTCCTGCTATTGGTGAGGAGGTGCATATATTTCCCCTTCATTCTTCATCCTCCTCCTCATCACTGGAGAGAGGCAGAGCAGACCTAAGTGGAGTGGTCAGGTGTCTCAGTACAATCAAACTGGAGTGCTGTCGGTACCAAGGAGTGGGGATTTTGGTGCTGAAGAGACCAGTGGGTCTGTATCTTAAACTGCTGTGATAAAAGAAATGGCGGTACTTATGTCGGTGTTGCTGGTGGTACTGATATGTGAATTGTAGCCTTCGGTGCTGAGAGTCTTGTGCTATGCAGTGTAGGTACCACAGGCAGCACCACTGCATCACTCAGTGCCGAGTATCTCTTTAGCTCCATCGGTACCGTGGCAGAGGGTTTTACTTTGCCTTTTGAGCCTCCGGCAGAGCTTGCCTGCTTCGTGTCTTTTGCTCTCTGGGTACTCATGGTACCAGATGGTCCTGGTGTCTGAGTCCAACGTACCTGGCGCCGTCGATACCAATATGGTCTCTGCAGTAGGGGAGCGTTTTTTCTTAGCTGATTCCTGCGAAGGTGAAGTCTGAGCCCTCTTTTTTTGTAGCCTTCTTGGGAAAAGGCTCTTTAGTAGGGGCTATTGTGGCAGGACCTTTATCTGAGGCAGCAGGAGAGGTGATGGCGCATGTGCGATCCAACCAGGCATTGCTACAAACAACAAATCTCTGATTGCAAGAGCAGGGTGCATGGACATACCTAAAGTGGAGCACCCACAGGGACACTCCTCAAAGAACCAGCCCTGCTCCTGCCTTCCCTGACTCCTGGTAATCCAGCTCCGACCCTCAGCTCTGACTCTTGACTCCACCTCAACCCTGGACTCTGACTTCGGTCCTGACTGTTGGCTCTGATTCCTGACTTTGACTCGGTCTCGATCCTTGACTTTGGTGTTTGAACTCTAATCAGTAGGCCTCACTCCCAAGTCCCACTCTGACCCCTAGGCCTGACGGCCTGTGACCTGGTCCATTGACAGGCCAACCTTACAGGCTGAGGAACATAGTTGTATGTTAAGAAAAACTGAGCTGAACTTAAATTGGAGACCTTCAAGGATTGAGAAGAGTGTTGATGTAACACCACGCTGCAGCCTCTATTTCCTCTCAATCTGCTTGATTGCTCTTCTCCCTCTTTCCATCCTTTAATATTTATTACATTTGTCTAATTCCTCTATACCAGGGGCTTCAGCCCCAGGCCTCAGCAAGTCTAAGTCAGCCCTGGCGACCCCATTCAAATGGGGGTAGTGACCCACTTGGGGGTCCTGACCCACAGTTTGAGAACCGCTGCTCTATACCTATCTTTAAATACAAAGGCAGGTTTTGAGGGGAAAGTCTACATTAGTGCTATGTTATGTTAGAAATTTTAATTAAACAAGTAAGGAAAATCAGTGTTAACATTCTGATAGCAACATTTAATTCTACACCTTTGGAAATTTGAATTAAAACAGGGAGCCTCTCAGGTACACAAGATTTACACCAGTGCCACTCCATTGATTTCAATGGAGTTACTACTACTTTACACAACTGTAAGTGAGAAAAGAATCAAGTCTTTAATTACATGATTGAACAACACAGGGCAATATGACTTACTCAACAAATTGTATTCAACAAATACAATGGGAATAATCATTATGTAACTGTAAATGCATTTTTGTATCCCTTTGCATTAGTGCATATTGTCTGAGTGATCATTTAAATGAAAGCCTCAAGTGCGAAGAGTTCAGGTTGTTGTAGGAATCTTATCTATGATTTTCCTTTATCATTTCTTTTACTAGTTTGATAGAATATAAAATGTTTCCCTGAGAAAGATGATAAATACCAAGCAAAGTAATCAAGAGGTACTTCCACCATCAGTACTAATATAACCATGGCAGTAACTTTAAAACATTTTATAGTAACAAACTTACGCTTTGAGAGGGACTACACATCTAAGCATACAGGACCAATTTCAGCACTGGTGTAATTTCATTTAAATCAGTGGCAATACATAAGGAATGAATTTGGCCAATATATTCACTACTGAAATATATTTAAACTAAAACTATTTTTCTTTTACCAGAAAGCTGTATTCTAGAATGCTTATGCCATCTTCATGTACAACAAGCCATACGAAGGAACTCTCAAGTGTGGATGTTAGAGGCTACAAAAAGAGAAACATTGCATTACATGTTATAAATGGGGTTAGCTTTAAATAGTAACTTAATTAAAAGACTCAGACACTTTAAAATTTGTCAGATATCACACCAAAATATAAGGAAGCAGAAGTGATGCAAAGAAGTTAGGGTATATATCTTAGGATTGTCTGAAGGGAAATAAAATGATATCACATCTTATTTACCAGACCTGTGTTGTGATTTGTGTGTCCAAGGGTGACACATGACACGAACATTTATTTAGCTTATTGATTTTTAGGTAAATTGAGCCCAAAGTTCTAAAGCAATAAAAACCCTATTATTCATGTCTCAATCAATACTGTCTTCTTTAGTAACGAAGTTGTGGGATGTTTAACAGTAACTTAGATGCCAGTAAGGGAGAATCTGCTTGAAATTTATTCTGTACATTTAATTTCTATTAATGCTTCTAAGGACAAAAACCCAACTCCCATTTAAGTCTTTAATAGGAGTTGAAGCAGACCCAAACAGTATTAATTTAAAAAGGCTGCTTCAAAACAAGGTGAAAGGTAGCGAGAGGATGCTGTGTGGAGTGACATTAGAATGCAGGGGAAACATGGGCTAGATATTATTAGGATTTACTTATTATTAATCCAAGAAGTAATTGTTTGTTTGAAAAGTGTGAATTAGGAGTGCTTTGTTCCAGGTGGGCCTTGAGTGATTGACAGGGAAGGCTTTGAGCCAGGGCAACTGCTTCAAGCCAGCAGCCTTATAAAAAAGCAGCCAGTTGTGAACCGAGTGAACTGTGAACAGAGGAGAGGCAAACAGAGGGATTTTGCCTGGGGAGAGTTCCCAGAGTTTTTTTTGCCTTTCAGGCTTCTGTGAGCAGTAATTACAGCACCTGAAGAGGCTCTCAGAAGGAAGACAATATGGCTAGTGAGCAGTCAGCTGTTGTGACCTGCACAAGATGTGCCATGTTTGTCTTTCTTCCAGAGGATAGAAGCAACTTCATCTGTACAAAGTGCAAGCTGGTCTCCATATTGGAAGAGAAGGTTAAAGGACTAGAGACCCAAGTATCAACCCTGCATTGCATTAGAGAAAATGTAGACTTTTTGGATTGAAGTCAGCCTTTGGTACTGCTGGCCCAGCATGCTGAAGAATCAGAGAAGGCATTGCAGAATGGGGAAGAAAATTGGCAGCATGTGACCTCCAGAAGAAGAAAGAGGAGAACCCATGTACCCCCAATGCAGATAGAGGTAAGAAATCCTTTTCAGGCTCTCTGCACAGGTACTACGGTGAAGCATGGTTTGGAAGAGTCATCTGAGGAAAGGGATCAGAAGGAAGCCCCATCTACCAGAAGGCATGGGATGCATTGCCCTAGGGATGGGGGTTCCATGATCACTACTCCAAGAGGAGGAGATGGGTGGTGGTGGTTAGGGACCCCCTCATAAGGGGGACAGTCACCCATCTACTGTCCAGACTGGGAAACTTGAAGCGTGCTGCTTGCCTGGAGCTAGAGTTCAGGATGTGACAGTATGTCTGCTGAGATTGATCAAGCCCTCTGACTGCTACCCCTTCCTACTTCTCCATGTGGGCACCAATGATACTGCCAAGAATGACCTTGAGTGGGTCACTGCAGACTACATGGCTCTGGGAAGAAGGATAAAGGAATTTAAGGTGCAAGTCATGTTCTCATCCATCCTCCCTGTTGAAGGAAAAGGCCCAGGTATTGAATTGTGGAGGTAAATGCATCATTGCACAGGTCCTCTCAGAGAGAGGGCTTTGGATTCTTCGACCATGTGATCTTCCAGGAAGAAGGATTGCTAGGAGGAGATGGGATCCATCTAACAAAGAGAGGGAAAAGCATCTTTGCAGGCAGGCTTGCTAACCTAGTGAGGAGGGCTTTAAACTAGGTTTGCTGGGGGTTGGAGACCTAAGCCCTGTGGTAAGTGGGATACCGGGAGGAAACATGAGGAGGAGGAGGGTGCAACAGGGGAGGCTTCCTGATTCATATTGAGAAACTAGGGCAATTGGCTAGTTATCTTAGGTGCCTGTACATGAACGCAAGAAGCCTGGGAAACAAGCAGGAATAATTGGAAGCCCTGGCACAGTCAAACTATGATGTGACTGGAATAAGACTTGGTGGGGTAACTCACATGACTGGAGCACAGTCATGGATGGCTATAAACTGTTCAAGAAAGACAGGTGGGGGGGAAAAGGTGGAGGAGTTGCACTGTATGGAAGAGAGCAGTATGATTGCTCAGAGCTCCAGTATGAAACTGGATAAAAGCCTGCTGAGAGTCTTCGGGTTAAGTTTAGAGGCGAGTGCAACAAGGGTGATATTGTGGTGGGCGTTTGCTACACACCACCAGAATGGGAGGATGAGGTAGATGAGGCTTTCTTCAGACAACTAAAAAGTTTCCAGATCACAGGCCCTGGTTCTCATGGGGGACTTCATCACCCTGACATCGGCTGGGAGAGCAATACAGCAGTGCACAGAAAATCCAGGAAGTTCTGGGAGAGTGTGAACAACTTCCTGGTGCAAGTGCTGGAAGAACCAACTAGGAGCCATGCTCCTCTTGACCTGCTGCTCGCAAACAAGAATTGGTAGGGGAAGTAAAAGTGGGTAGCAACCTGGGCAACAGTGACCATGAAATGGTCGAGTTCAGGATCTTGACAAAAGGAAGAAAGGAGAGCAGCAGAATACGGACCCTGGATTTCAGAAAAGCAGACCTTGACTCCTCATGGAACTGATGGGCAGGATCCCCTGGGAGGCTAATATGAGGGGGAAAGGAGTCCAGGAGAGCTGGCAGTATTTTAAAGAAGCCTTACTGAGGGCACAGAAACAAACCATCTGGATGTGCAGAAAGAATAGCAAATATGGCAGGCGACGAGCTTGGCTTAACAGAAAAATCTTCAGTGAGCTTAACACAAAAGGAAGCTTACAAGAAGTGGAAACTTGGACAGATGACTAGGGAGGAGTATAAAAATATTGCTCGAGCATGCAGGGGTGTAATCAGGAAGGCCTAAGCACAATTGGAGTTGCTGCTAGTAAGGGATGTGAAAGGTAACAAGAAGGGTTTCTCCAGGTATGTTAAAAACAAGAAGGTGGTCAGGGAAAGCGTGGGACCCTTACTGAATGGGGGAGGCAACCTAGTGACAGATGATGTGGAAAAAGCTGAAGTATTCAACGCTTTTTTTGCCTCGGTCTTCACTGAGAAGGTCAGCTCCCAGACTGCTGCACTGGGCAGTACAGTATGGGGAGGAGGTGAGCAGCCCTCAGTGGTGAAAGAACAGTCTAAGGACTATTTAGAAAAGCTGGACATGCACCAGTCCATTGGGCCGAATCTAATACATCCAAGGGTGCTGAGGGAGTTGGCTGATGTGATTGCAGAGCCACTGGCCATTATCTTTGAAAATTCGTGGCCATCGGGGGAGGTCCCGGACGATTGGAAAAAAGGCAAATATAGTGCCCGTCTTTAAAAAAGAGAAGGAGAATCCGGGGAATTACAGCTTCACTTCTGTCTTTGGAAAAACTATAGAGCAAATCTTCAAGGAATCCATTTTGAAGCACTTGGAGGAGAGGAAGGTGATCAGGAACAGTCAACATGGATTCACCAAGGGCAAGTCATGCCTGACCAACCTGATTGCCTTCTATGATAACTGGCTCTGTGGATATGGGGAAAACAGTCAATGGTGATATGGGGAAAGCTTTTAATACAGTCTCCCACAGTATTCCTGCAAGCAAGTTAAAGAAGTATGGTCTGGATGAATGGACTATAAGGCGGATAGAAAACTGGCTAGATCGTCCTACTCAACAGGTAGTGATCAATGGCTCAATATCTAGTTGGCAGCCGGTATCAAGTGGTCTTGGGGCTGGTTTTGTTCAACATCTTCATTAATGATCTGGATGATGAGATGGATTGCAGCCTCAGCTCCTCAATGACACTAAGCTGGAGGGAGAGGCAGATACACTAGGGGGTAGGGATAGGTTCCAGCGTAATCTAGACAAATTGGAAGATTGGGCCAAAAGAAATCTGAGGGTCAACAAGGACAAGTGCAGAGTCCTGCACTTAGGATGGAAGAATCCTATACACTGCTACAGGCTGGGGTCAGACTGGCTAAGCAGCAGTTCTGCAGAAAAGGCCTGGGGATTACAGTGGACAAGAAGCTGGATATGAGTCAACGGTGCGCCCTTGTTGCCAAGAAGGCTAATGGCATATTGGGCTGCATTAGTAGGAGCATTGCCAGCAGACCGAGGGAAGTGATTATTCTCCTATTTGACACTAGAGAGGCCACATCTGGAGTACTGTGTCCATTTTTGGGCCCCCTATCGCAGAAAGGATATGAACAAATTGAAGAGTCCAGCAGAGGGCAACAAAAATGATTAGGGGGTTGTGGCACAAGACTTATGAGGAGAGGCTAAGGGAACTTGGCTTATTTAGCCTGCAGAAGAGAAGAGTGAGGGGGGATTTGATAGCAGCCTTCAACTACCTGAAGGGTGGTTCCAAAGAGGATGGAGCAAGGCTGTTCTCAGTGGTGGTAGATGACAGAACAAGGAACAATGGTCTCAAGTTGCAGTCGAGAAGGTCTAGGTTGGATATTAGGAAAAACTTTCACTAGGAGGGTGGTGAAGCACTGAAATGGGTTACTTAGGAAAGTGGTGGAATCTCCATCCTTAGAGGTTTTTAAGGCCCTGCTTGACAAAGCCCTGGCTGGGATGATTTAGTTGGGGTTTGTCCTACTTTGAGCAAGGAGTTGGACTAGATGACCTCCTGAGGTCTCTTCCAACCCTAATTTTCTATGAATAGAGGTTCAAGCAACAAACACTTCAAACCAACTTTCAACTTAATTTGTTTTCCTCCTGCATACTACATTCAAACTTAAACCACCACCCCAAAAACCCAGACTTAATAAAATTCCTTACTTTTGCCGTAAACATTTTAGCACCAAAGAATGACCACTTTCTGGCTACTGTAAGATAAATGCGCACACAATCTGCAGCACTGTGCCCCCGGAGAGCCATCCATCTCGTTGATAATCGCTGACGAAGCTGTCTAGTGAAATGAAACACACAATGAGAACATACTTCTGGATTTTGTTGTGAAAAAAACAGTAAAAACCCAATCAATTTTTGATTTTGTCAAAATGAGTATTTGATTTATATGCTATATTCAGTCATATCAGATATGCTGTATAGAAAACTTCAAACCAGTCATTGATATCATTTGTGTACAGCAAACCTTAGTTACCTTCTTGTTTCTGGAACACCATGATTAAATTTAAATGATCTAGGATGGTCCCCTTCACCCTTTTAAATATAAAAAGTACTAGCAGCACAGAGTGAAAAAGTACAGCGCAGCTTGTGATATACATCTACAGGTATCCCTGTGTGACAGTAGAATTAAAAGGACATCTGTGAGAGGAGATGTATAAGCTCCACACTGGAGAGCCAAGGGTTAACAAGCAACTCTGGACCTGGAAGGCCCCACCCAGCTGCACTAGCTGGGCATGCTCAAAATGGAGCAGTCCTGGTCATCAGGGTGACAGAGGAAGGGAGCAGTTATCTGCTGTTAGCTTCTGCAGAGAGGCCACAAGAGCACCACACTGCCTGAACCAGACCCCACTGCTGAACTGCCAAATGCCCCCTGGAGACTCAGGATCATGGGCTGACAAACTGGAGAAAAACAGCCTCTGGATCACAGGCAGGGAGAACCCTGCTCCTTCGTGAGTGAATAAGTAGACCCTGCGGTGACTTTGGAAGAGTAGGAAGTAACCCAGGGAGCAGGCTTGGGTGGTGTCCACCTCCAGGCTGCATACCCAGTCTGCCAGTCACAGAGCCCTGGATTGGAACCCGATGTAGCAGGGAGGGCCTGGGTTCCCCTGCGGCTGGCCCTGCAGACTCTTGCTGCTGGATGACACAGCTCCAGACTCTTGCCACTGGGCTATACTACCGAACCCCCTGACAATCCGCAACATGAAATATAGACACTTTTTACCAAAAAATTAAAGTATTTTCAGGTACTATATCCTGCTCTTGACTAACTGTAGGGAGCCAGGGTGGCTCCCCTCGGAGCCAGAGGGTAAAGAGCCACCCTTTCAGCCTGAGTGGGCAGGGCCAGGCCAAGCTTCCACCAATCCCTGCGAGGGGAAGGGTGGGACAGGAAGTACAAAGGGCGGGGCCCTCTGCCCAGTGAAGAGAGCACCAGCTCCCTCATGAGCCTGCTGCTTACCCAGGCGAAGCCCTGGGCAAGGAGGAGCCTGACCGGGAGGAAGGCCTGTGGCAACCAGGGCTGCCAGCTGCTGAATACCCAGAGGACCTGGAGGGGCCTGACTGCAGCCCGGGCCAGCGTGAGTCCGACACCGAGGGGGAGCGACCCGCGGCGGAATACCCAGATGAGATGGAGGGACCAGAGCTGCCCGCAGCGGAATACCCGGACGAGATGGAGGGACCAGAGCGACCCACCTGAGAGACTGGGTAGGAAGTAGCCCAGGGGCCGAATTACACCGTGGGGTGGGTGTGTTTGGTAAGCGGGTGCAGACAGCCCCGCTGACCCAGCGGCGGGACTTTTGCCTCCTGCCACTGTCAGGGCCCTGGGCTGGAACACAGTGGAGTTGGGTGGGCCTGCGTTCCCCTACCCTGGCGCTCCCCGGCCTGGGGGGCGCGCGACTGACTCTTGCCGGCGCTCCCCGGACTGGGGGGCGCGCGACTGACTCTTGCCGGCACACCTTCCCCGCTAATTCCCCAACGCCCGGAAGGTGTGGCTGAGGCCTGCCACTGAGACCATAGCTCTCCATCGCCCCTAGGGGCTCGGAGGACCGACCCCTGTCACACTAACCTAGCTATGCTTTGGTTTTACAATAACATTTTCCTGTTTTTCAAATTTTTTTCTTTTCCTGTAGCTCTGTTTGCCAGGAGCCACAGGAAAACAGTTGCTATAACGTTAGAAGAAATTAGAATAATACATTATTTTTGTCCAAAATATCTTAAATTATGAAATACCCAATGTTTGACTAAAACAGATACAAATCCTGCAACGTTTACTTATATAAGTAGTTCTTACTCATTCAAACAGTTTGGTTGAGTTCAATGAGTCTGCCTGCTTGAGTAAGGACTACTCTTGGACCAGACTGTGGCACCCTTACTCAACTTTAGTAATACCTTAATCGTCTTGTTCATTTCAATGGGATTATTTTCTGAGTAAAATAATATTCCAGGTGAGTAAGAGTGTCAGAATCTGGTCCAATGTGAGTAAAGGTTATAAGATCCTAATTTGTGTATTCTGAGAGCATTTTGCTAAAATACATGATTAATAATCCTATTGTATATTTGGGTAACAAAGATTCAGAGGAAAGGGGTTCTCCCTAAGCCATTCGGTAAAAAGAATTTCAGTTTCATATATAGCTCTAGACAAAAATTTCTCATAATTGTATATCTAAATCTTCCAATATAACTGAAAGCCTGCCTTCGTCCCTAAACATAACAGAACACTAAAAGTAAAAACATTCACATCTTGTCTATCATAATACTTTCCCCCTCTCACCTTAACTGTTCTTCTGAACAGCCATGCCTATACCTCTTTGGGTAAAATTTTTCCACAACTTGTTTCAATGTCTGATTGGACTTGGAGGGAGAAGTAACTTGCCCTGCTGGAGTTGAGAAAGGTCTTTCGAAGTCCCCAATCTCTACCTAGTGGGAAGGCCAGGAAAGAGAAGATCTTTGTACAGAGTCATTTTAGAAATTTAAATACCTTTTATGCATTGTCTTGTTGATTAGCATACTGTGAAACTTAAAATGTTTTGTCCATTGAATTTTATTTTCACTGATGTAAAAATAGTGTAAGTTATATTTCACTTCTAATTACATTAAATTCGCCAAGCAAAAATTAGTTAGCACAAATCAAGTTTAAAGTACAAAACCTATTGTATAGCATTTTCTTGCATTTCACAGTATTTCATATAGAGGGACAAATCTTCAGCTGGTGTAAATTGACAAGATCTAATTAAGCCAATCCATAAAGTAACTCTCAAACTTTGTGACTATCTGAGTTTTTCTTCTTTATGAAAATAAATCTAATTCATAGGTATATCTACTGAAACATCTCAAAGCTGTATTATGGTATATATAATTTTCAGAAGTTATTCATGGCACGGTGAATGGGGAGACCTGTTCAAGGATCCCTGTAACAAAAGCAAATGGCTATGCTATGTTTAATTAACTAGGACCTGATCGTGCAAGGTGCTGAGAACCTCCCTCCTTAACACTGATGTCAATAGGAGTAGAAAGTGGTCAGCACTGGCCCCTTAATGTATAAGCTGACTGTTACCATAAACTCATAGATTACCTGAGCTAAAAGAGCCGCCATTTCCAGTGCCAGTTCTTTGTTGACAGGAAAAAGTCCATTTACTATCTGATCATTTGTTTGATACATTAACAGCAGCTTTTCCCGGTCTGTTTCCCCACGGACTTGAGCTGAGAAATAAAGCCTACAAAAGAAGAAAGAAAAGTTCTTTAAAAATGAAAATAGGGGTATTAAATGGACCCTGGGGATTAGTAATGAGACCTATGACCTTGCACCTCTGGGTCACTAGTTTGAAGTCAGCTCTGACCAAAAATTGTTACCATCTGATGGCTTACATTGAATCATGTGAAATGAGTTGGTGATATCAATCCAGTTCCTAATGGATAAGTGTTTCTATCACAAATGGTAGCCTCAGCAGCTAGGACAAAGAATGAATGTGCACAGAGACTTATTAACACTTCAGCTCTGAAGGTAACCTGTCCAGAGCAGAGTTGAGGCACAGAGGAAGGGTAGCACTTAAAAGCTTTTACTGCCACTGTACTAAATCTGTGGACAAATGGAGAAAATCAACCTCCAGAATTGTCACTCTAAACCATTTTACTAGCTATACATTCACTACTTCTAAAAGGTAGGAAAAAGTGACCCTCTAGTATCTTGTCATTTTAAATTTTTTTGCTCCAGTTAAGCCCATTGCTCATTTCCATAGAACAGGGACAGCACAGGAGTAAAATCCTGGAAATCTATAATGAAATTTGAAGGCTAGCTACTCTGCTGTTTAAACTGATTACTTAATACATGCCCTTAGTTTTAAAATTTTAAAAAAAGTATCATTGCACACATACCGGTATCTTATTTAAGTGAATGATAAGAAATCAGACTAAAGTTTAAACATGAATAGAATTTAAATGCCAGTTTGAAAGTAATTAAAGATATAAATACCCACCAAAAGATCTGTAGCTTGTTGAGTCTAAATGAATAAAGTTTAATGATTTCACAATTAAGCATTGATTTGTATTTTGCTTTCATGAAATTCAACACCACTTGACAACTGAGGAATCACAGACCTTCCAAGTACATAATACTGCAAATTAGTACAGTGGTTTTTCACCTCTGTAGAACTAGGGTCTTTAATTTGGTAGTGTCAGCCTAGTCCCCCTGTATCCAAAACTCAAGTTCCAGCAAAGTTTGGCACAATTAGCAACTAATGCTCAGGAGAGACCAAGGACTGAGCAAAAGGGATGATGTAGGTCAAGACAAGTGCTCCTCAATCTCATAAGCTTCACCTACAAATTAAAAAATGAAATACTGGTACACAACATAATCCATTCCATTTTACTGAATATAGACTGTAGACAAAATTGGACATTAGTTTTCCAAGCTAAACAGAGTAAGAGAGAACAACTTTTGACAGAAACTACTATGTGTTGTCCTTTTTACTACTAAATTATGAAATGTCAACCTGTGGCTGTTGCTTATTATGCACATAATGTTAAACTCACTATTATCTCATCCTTCTCCTACAGATGTACCCCTAAGACTTCTACTTTTAGAGATCCCATTAATCAAAACAGCCTGCTCTTGCTCTCTTCTTGTTCATGCTATATGTTTAAAATTCCATGCACATCGGATCTGCATGCTCCTTATTTTATATTTGCGCAGGTGGAACCCACATAAAAGACAAGCACAGCATCTAAACCTCAACAAATGAGATCTTGCCAGGTGCAAGATGCTTGGAAGGTGGGTTCATCAAGGGAAAGATGGCCTGGTGGAGAATGTGGGAAGGAGCCACAGCCTTAAGCAGGGTCATGGGAAGGGGTGTCCAATACGCCAGCAGATTGACTAAGGAAAACAAACCAGGATTTGCCTGCCTAGCTTACTCCGTACTTCCCAATCTGCTAAATTTAAGAAAAATAAAAATCTAAGGTTTATATGAAGGTTTCCAAAATATTGATAGTAGTGGAGCTAATTTATTTAACAAAGGTTGCAGTCTCTTTCTCTATTTTAACATTTTGGAGTAAGCTTTGATTCAGCTAATACCTTTCTAGATAATAAACACCATACAAATTAAAGAAAATCCCTAGGACACAATAGTGGAATTATATTCAGTATTATATACCTGTTTTTATACGTAAGGCGCACAGTTCTTGTGCCTTCACATTTCCCAGGATGCTGTTCTTTGGAGGCCTGCTCCCATTTAGAAATAATGTCACAGATCTAAAAGGAAAATGAATGTGTGGAACTGTCAGTTCTGTAGTTTCTTGCCAAAACAGCATTTTGAAGGAAACCATCTGTTTATTATGAAAGAATTTCAATTACTGTAACTCAGAAAAATCATGTAGCTTTAATTTTTAAACTTGCAAAAAGTACCTGTACAGGCACTTTTTAGTTGAGGATTTAGTAGTCAGATTTTGTTGTTGTTGTTCGCTTATCCTACCAGACAGACCTTGGTTTTGGAATCCGGCCATAAAATGTTTATACAGAAAGGACAGGTATATAATTTAGCAGGAGCCAACACATATGTAATTATCCAAAACTAGTTGTTTTATAATTAATCAAACTAATGACTTTTATAAAGAGGATAATTAAACAACTATACTGCATGCTGTGGATGATTCTCTTTCTAACCAGTGTTTTGTGCAAGTTGGAGGCTCACTTGGTCCCTTCTTCCCAGACCAAAGGAAGAGAGTGTTGCAATGGCAGCACCCTAATCCATTCAGACTAGATGGGAAGAAACTATTTAGTGACCCCCTTGGAAAGACTCAGCAGAAATGTTAACAGAATCCAAAGGGCGTCAAAATCTCATGTTAATAGAAAACAGAATATGAGGATAAGTAAACCGTGTCTAATAGATTTTTTTTGCCTTCCATGTTATGGGTTTTTTGTTTTGTTTTGTTTTGTTTCTTTCGGAAAGAGAAATCCTCCATGGCCCTATTTACCTCCGGTTGCATCATGACCCTTCTTCCAGCCATAGAGGGCTCGATGCAGAGCCCCCTGAAGCCAGTTAATACTTTGAACAGGGCAGAAGGGTGTAATAGGGCTGCCTGATGGTATTACCCAGCATTCCTTACGCCCCAGGGCTGAGGGAGCAGCTTTAATAGTAGTCCCAGTCCCTACTGGCCTTGCGAGGACAATGATGTAACATTATAGTAAACGGTTGATTATGCTGTGTCTTCCCAACCCTGCTGTAAATACCTTAATCCTGAGTTGTAGGGATAACTACATCCCTTCAGAATCCATATAAATAACATTACATTGAGCACTGCAACCTACTGAACTAACCTAAACCTTTTCCTCCTCCTATTGGATAGGAAACCCTCTGACATTCTTTCCAGATCTGTCAGCCCCTTTCTTTGATTCTCAAATACATCCCTCACTTGAGCAACAAATTAGAAGAGATGTTTGTATTTTGGTATTTTAGGAGATGGATTTATATTTCTAAATTTATAGTAAATCTAATGTTATGACAGGTACCAGGTTACCAGCACTGGACGCTGAAGTCTTGTAACCACAGGACTTGCAGAGCACAAGATACGGTAGTTCAATCTTCATGTCACAGCCCGCATCTGGAGACTTCTACTCCAGTATACTTCACCTCTCCAGCTCTGAGAGCTCTCCAGGACTTCTGAGTATTCAGACCTTTGTTGTCCACAGGAGTTGGACTGAGAATACCAACTAAAGCCACTGAATGAGCATTAGACTAATCACTTTTAGTCACTAATAACAGTCCTCATGTAAATTGGTGTCCTAGAGGTGAAAAGTTCCTTATCCCATCATCAATTCCCTGAGCCATTCTGCCCGGCAATGCTTTTAAATGTATTCCACTGAATGAATTTCAGAGTGAAAAATTAGAGTTTGTTTTCATCTTTCCTTTGATGTATGTCAAATGAGGAAAAGCAAAAAGCATTTAATGAGGAAATAATTTTCCCTTAAATTGTTTGTTTGAAAAGGCCTCTGTAAAATTAAGATATTTTTGTTGTTTAATATGTGCAGCTCATTAAAGAGTTTTGTTTACCTTGATGTTTCCTTGAAGACAGTGCTCTATATCCTTGCCAGAAGGATCATCAGTAAATAATGCAAATCCTGACTGGACTGGTTTTCTCATTCCTGTGTCCTGGTTAAGGGTGTTCAGAAATTCTTCCACCGTGGTGGACGCATCAAACCCAACAACCTGAACAGAGGAAAACAAAACACTTTAGTTACAAACTCTCAAATATTAAATGTAAGATTTTGAAGAAGGACAAGACACTTTCTAGAACATACATGGAAAGAGAGTGCCCTGTTCCATCCTCCTTGGATAGCTTATTGTCATTACAGCTTGATAAATTCCACTATGGATTAGACAAAAATTTAGTCAGGATTTAAATTTGTAAATTCTGGGAAAAAATAAGACAGTTTGGTGGTCTTTATTCTGCCCTATTGAGCAAATGTTATGTCAAAAACTTTGCTTACCTGTTACAAGTCATTGCATTTTGTTTACCAAATCAAAGACTATTATACATAGCATCTCAGACTGTTATTAAACTAATGTTATTTTCCTTTTTTTGTTTTCCAGCCCAAACTTAATCTCTAGATAAATGCTTTTATAGGCTTTTTTCATTTACTAAACTATAGATTTGAATTAATCTAAACGTTTGATTTAAAAAGGCAACTTGATATGTTCCTCTGTGAGGAAAAATATTATTAGAAATACTGTAACAAAAAATTATGACAGGGTGACTCAGCAGGTAAGATTATAGATAACAACCTTGCATGACATACAATTTAACAGGAGGCTTGATTAGATTAAAACTATATGTCTGAAATACAATATAAAATGTATTTCAGGAGCAGTAATATAGTGGAAAATTGTCCAAAGATGTATCTTTTACCTCCCACGTCTACTGGTGTAAATATTTATCAAGTTTCCTGTTCTGTCTTTGGTACTAAAGAATTTTAGTAACAGGTGGCTAATTGTCTCTACTCAGATACTTGTCTCTGGCACTTCTCTGAACTTCATGTTTGTGCTTAAGGACAGAGGTATCTACCAGGCTCTGCACACAAAAGAAACCACACCGCTTTTATTAGTAACAAAATGTCTTAGAAAAACTGGCTCATGGAGTCCCACTGATTACAATGGAAGCTAGGAGCCTAAATACCTATGAGGATCTGGGCCCAACTAACTAACCAATTATAGTGACATTTAAGACTTTATTGGTTTTATTTCATATCTCTTGGGAGCATGTCTCTTCAAACCAATATATAAGCATCATGGATGGTTAAATTCTTTTTGATCTCAAGCATTTATCTTTGAAACTTTAAGGTGATGACTTAATGGAGATCCAAGTATATGTGTGTATATATATATATATAATTTGTTTGTTGGATATATATTGAATACTTTTTTAGTTTTATAAAAAAGTTTTGAAAGCAGAGTTTTTCTTTATACCAGGAAATAAAAATGATATTCAGTGCACAACTACATTCCGTAATTCACAGAAGGGATACTAGATCAAATACTGATCCTATACTGAAGTTAAGGGGAGTTCTACTATGTCACAGGGTGACATGGCCCCTGTAAAGGGCCTCATCTGTCTTTCAGAGATGGGAAGGCGTTAGCCTGGGCTGTGGCTAATAAGGGATTGATGATAACTGAGACATGAGGATCAGCTGAAAGGGTTAAAGAAATTGATGACTGTCACCTACGGAGGGTGTGGTTCAGGAAGAGAGAGCTCATAGGAATAGGAAATACTGCAGTTTAAAAGAGGGGAGGAGGCTAGGCAAATGGTAATCTGTGGTGGTGGTGGGAGTTTAGAAGAGAAAGATGTGCTATAGGAGAAGGAAACAGTCAGGGCTTTAGGTCCTGAAAGAAGGGTAGGATGAAAGGAAAGCTGGGCCTTGGAAGAAGGGGCAGGACTAAGAGAAAACTCAAAGATGCCAGATATCTGGTGACTGAAGGAATGTCCCATGCGTTGCTGGTATTTTGAAAGCCTTTAAAGACACTTGTGGCACCTTAGAGACTAACCAATTTATTTGAGCATAAGCTTTCGTGAGCTACAGCTCACTTCATCGGATGCTGTAGCTCATGAAAGCTTATGCTCAAATAAATTGGTTAGTCTGTATTCGCAAAAAGAAAAGGAGTACTTGTGGCACCTTAGAGACTAACACGGCTGTTACTCTGAAATCTTTAAAGACACTATATCCCTAAAAGAGTCTTGACCAGGAGTGGGCAAACTTTTTGGCCTGAGGGCCACATCTGGATGGGGAACTTGCATGCAGAGCCATGAATGTAGGGCCTGGGGCAGGGGGTTGGGGTGTAGGGGGGGTGCGGTGTGTAGGAAGGGGCTTGGGGCAGGGGGTTGGGGTGAAGGTGGGGTGTATGAGGGGGCTCAAAGCAGGGGGTTGGGGCAGAGGAGGGGTGTGGGATGTACAAGGGCACTCATGGCAGGGGTGCAGAGTGTGGGAGGGGGCTCAGGGCAGGAGTTGGGGTGCAGGAGGGATGTGGGGTGTGGCAGGGGGCTAGGGTGCAGGAGGGGTGTGGGCTCTGGCCCGGTGCCACTTACCTTGAGTGGCTCCGGGGTGGTAGCAGCGCACAGCGGGGCTAAGGCAGGCTCCCTGCCTGTCCTGGCCCCATGCCGTTCCCGGAAGTGGCCGGCACCAAGTCCATGCAGCCCTGGGGGAGGAGAGGGATGAGGGTTCTGCATGTTGCCCTCGCTTGTGGGAACCTCCCCCGAAGCTCCCATTGGCCACGGTTCCCAGTTCCTGGCCACTGGGAGCTACGAAGGGCAGTGCCTGCAGGTGAGAGCAGCACACGGAACCCTCTGTCTCCCCTCGCCCAGGGGCTGCAGGGACATTGTGCCAGCCGCTTCTGGGAGTGGCACGGGTGCCCGCAGCGCCACTGGGGTGGCAATCCTGCAGGATCGATCCAAAGTCCTGACAGGCCGGATCCAGCCTGCAGGCTGTAATTTGCCCATCCCTGGTCTAGACACTGGAGGGAGCCTGGCTGGAGGGTCAGAGGACTCTGTTGCATGTGTTATGCCTGGACAGCATGAAAGGCCACTGGGGAACAAGCGTTATTCATGACATGATGTTTTTCAGTTGCCAAAACTAGAAATTTTTTTAAAGAAAATTGATCTTTATTTATTTGATTTAATTGAAAAGCTATTTTCTGTGAAAAGATATATTGACAGAAAATTCTGACCAGCTCTAATCATTAGGAACATATTTAGGCACAAAGGGCTGATGCAGTTCCGAATGAAGTCAATAGAAAGGTCCCCTCAGACTTCAATGGGATCTTGATTGGCCCCAAGAGACTATGGAGCATATTCTGCCTGTAATGATCAGAGTTACACATGTGCCTCCATGACCTTCCACGAGCTACCCAGCTTCCAAGGTGCTCAGTTGGAGGGAATACCTCTAACACTCTGCTCTCTTCTCCAGACTGCTCCATTCATGTGGTTGATTGGTTAAACAAGAAAAATCAAGTGGATACTACTTCGGCAATAATGGGTTTTTAATTTTTTTTTTAAAGATGTTTTGCTCAAAACTTTTTCTTTTCCTGAAACACTGATCAAATCTGATCAAATTTGCCTAGTCCCTTGCCAACTACCAGCAAGGAGAAATTCAAGCTGTATTTACTTTAATGCTCATAGTTCTCCCTCCTTCATCTTGGCTATCATACATAACCACTTTACGACGGTGCAAATAAAATCAGATTGGGCAAGTTAAATATCATGCTTATGAACCGTACCTGGTATATACCATTCATGAAATGCACTGGAATACTGAAGGGCAGCGAGTGGTGGTAGGGATTTCTTAGAAGGGTTGAAAGGATTTCCATCCTTGATGGCCTTGCTTCTCGGTCCCCATTCTGCTGGGTTCTCTCAACACATCGCTGACAGTAAATTGCATATTTCCCAAATTCAGTTCTGTGACAAAAAGAGAAACAGGGCATGGCTCGTGAACTGATCCACTATGTGCTAAGATGTGAGTAAACCCTCTGAAACATCCAAACGGAAGGAGAACTCTGAGGTTTCCTTGCAATGTTTCCAACAGATTTTTCCATCAAAGGTGAGAATATAAAAGGTGTTAATCCACTGAAACTAACAGTTTTGTCAGAAATGAATTTGCCTCAGAATGTTTTGGGTAACAGCTATATTTTGCACTTTTCATGCTTTTACATCATGTGTTTAGAATACTGTAGTGCAATTTTCAAAACAAATGATAAATTTTCCAAGTGATGCACACAAGTTATGTGTACAAATTATACTTTTGTAGCATTTGTCCACAAATATGTCAATGTTGATTTTAAAATGTATCCTAGAAGTTCCATGAGTAGGACTTGTACAGCTAGTAATACGTAGGCACACCTGGAATCGGCATTCTTCTTTAAGTGAACTTTGAGGAGCCAAAGGAATGGGTGCTGAGGAAGGAATAGTCCAACAGAGAGAGCTAACAGCTGCAAACCCTGGAAAAAAGAAAAAAACATTATTTTGGGCATCTTACAAAGTAGAATAACTTCCTGCTGTGGTGACTGATCAACAGTGCAGTTCATTGTGCAAAATGCCAGATAAAATGACAGACAATTTTATATTGGAAGGAAAAGCTCAAAACTACAGGTAAAAAACTTAAATGAATTGGGATACCACCTCATTGGAAGCCCAAGATGTCTTTATCTCTATTTCCATGTCTCCCCCTCCCTGCAACTTTTTTTGGTTCAGTTTATATAAAATTCCATGCAAAAAACTGCATTAAAAGAAAACTAAGTTGCAAAGTCAATCACTAAAATGTTGGGAAATACCTGAATCAAGGTTGCCTGTGCCACCTTAATTTGGCTCCCCTGTGAGTATGCATTATACATAGTCTTTAATTACATAATTACATCCCTTTTCCCCCCACAGGACCCCTGCCTCATTCAGTGCACAGGATGAACAATGCTCACTGAATGAGCAGCTATTTGACTTTTTTTTTATCATTGTTCAATGTGTAGACCCAAGACTTATTTATTGCATACTATTCAAACCTACTCTGAATACAGAATTATTAATTTCCTCATGGGCTTTTTTAAGGGGCTCACCACTGATTTACAAATATTAATGAATTTATTTTCACAACACCCTTGTGAGGTAAGTGATATTATTATCCCTATTTTACATATGGGGAACTAATGCACAGAGACATTAATGTCAATGAAGTGTAAAATAATTTTGGTGCCCACTTTGAAATGTCTATAACCTGACTTTTTTTTTTTCCAGAGAATGTAGCATTTTATTTGTTCAGCTTTCATGGATTCCAGGGGCAGTTATGAGTGCCTTCACTTCTGCAGCCCAGAGGTGTCTCAAGTGGGGCACCCAGAAATGAAGAACTACATAGTTAATGAAAAAATTGGTTTAAATAACTTGTCCTGCATCAAATAGGAATTAAATCCATTTAAGGTGGCATTCAATTCCCTAAACCACAAACCCATTCCATCTCTTGCTGCAGTCCCCTCCCTCCCTCCCTACGCAACCTCCAACATCTGCAACAAATAAAGCAGGGATCCTACAGACCACAGTCTCATTCATGACACATCCTGATCCATTCCCAGATCACTAGTCATACTGTGCACTGAATAAGGCATGAGTACTGTGGAAAAAATAGTTTGTGACCATGTAATTAAAGACTATATATATGCATACACTCAAGGGGGCCAAATTACAATTGCACTGAGAGTGAAAGGAAGATGGCCTCCCTGCTCTCAGGTCCTGTGCATGGCAACACAGCTACCCATGGGTGGTGGAAGGAGCAAATGCAAGTGATGTTCAGCTCCTGCATGCCCACATGCATGGAATATTCAGAGAATTTAGCTGCCAAACTCTAATAAGTCTCTACTGAGCGTGTGCAAACAAAATTTTAGAGTCTTGTAATTTAACCAGATTTGGGGGAAAAGGCACAGCCCCAACACCAAGGCAACCAAATAAATTTCAAGTCCCTGCTCCAAAGCGTGCAGGCATTAGAGCATCTCAACAAAGCATTGCAAGAATTTTTTAACTTGGGTAAAACAACATATTTTTCCTTGGCCTCATTCTGAGAAACTGCTGAACATTTTTACTGAATATTTCCCACAATAAATCAGCCTGAGGCAAAAACCCTCATGTGGAAAATTTCAGCCCAAGTGGTTAAAGATGGCCAAGTTATAAGCAACTGAAAACAGGGACTTATAATGGAAAATATCAGGAAACCTCAACTATAGATCTACCTATAATACATTTTTCCCCCAGATTTCATTTGTTGATGCTATCCTCCTATCCACACTCCTCTGGCCCAGGACAGATGCTGAGGATGACCTATGTGGCAGCTTCACACCTTGCCTGCAGGTTAGGTGGGAATGTTATTATTTTATCCCTCTAAGCATTTGCAGAGTTTCTTTCTCAAAGCCCATTTAGGGCATTAAGTTAATGGAAAAATTAATGGACTTCAATGGGAGATGGATCAAACTTTTATTTGGGACGGATAGTGACATGAAAGTGTTTGAGAGAAAAAAACATACGTTCCCGTAATGATCTGGGACCTCAAAACATTCTCTCATCCCATTATTTTTATTTTATTAAAGCACTTTAATGTACTTTTAAAACCATTATGGAAGATTATAACAACACTTTTTTCATCCATAAAGAAAGGCCCTATCAATGAATGGTACAAGAGTGTCAAAAAAGAAAAAGGTTAAATTAAAACCATCAACTGCAGTATGTGTCAACTTAACAATTTTCCAAATATAAACTCAGGGTAATGAATAAAAACACATGAAGTCAATGTATTAATGAACTTTTTCCTCATTAAATTCTCCTGTTTCTTTCCTAGCTCTCTGTGTACTGCTACTCACATGTACTACTAATCCATATCTGTACATACCACTTAGACTATAATCCCTTTTCCCCCCTCAGTTTAATTTTTTTCCTACTTACTAATTTGAAGAACAATGAAGTTCTCCTAATAAAGCAGAGTGAAGAACCACAATTAGGTTCTACATATACATTATTTGTACAGTATGTGTACAAGATCGTGTGGGAGGTTGTAAGGTCAGGCAGTGGAAAGAGGATACTTGTCTTGAAAACAGGCATATTGAAGTGCATGGCCAAATGTAGGGAATTAATTGCCCCTCCTCAAGCACATTCTAAAGACAAATGTGCTGTGTGAGTTAGGGGCTGAATCCAGAATTAACTCAGGAAGAAAGACAGGCTCTCAAGGAAGCATGCAGCAGCTGATAGGAGAACCATAGGGGTCTCTGTGTTACACCTTACTTTAGACTTTAGCTCAAGTAAACCCACTTGTATTTGTGTTCAGCCCTTAAAAGAGATGGGGATGTTCTTTACCCTTATTCTTCTGATTTACAATAAAGCATAGCACAAAGATGTAAATTTTACTTAAGCATGCAGAGTTCTTTCCTGTACTCAATGGTCTGTCAAAGCTCTTCATTGCTCATGTGAAGGACATTCCATTAACAGAAGTTATTCATACCTGTATTGGTCCTGCCTGGTTCTGTGGATGTCGTCGTCTTGTCTGCTTAATGAGCTGGCAGCAGATCTCATTTTGAAGCTCGGGATGTGTGAGGCAGATCTGCAAAGCACTCTGTGCCAAAGATACATGGTAATCAATGGCAGGAGAGTCAACTGCAGCATTTATAAACAACTGGCAGGTCTGGATATAAAATAATAATATGTAAGTTTATATATCAACCTCCACCTAACCCCCTCACAGAGGTGCTTCATAACAAAAGTGCAATAATATTTAAAGCATCATGCATTAAATTAATTAAAATTTAAAAAACAAATAAGATGCTATCACTGGAAAAATATACGGAAAGAAGTGGGGTTCTCTACATGGCCAGATTTAAGATAAAAATACCTCTGAACAGTCTATTTTCAAATGCTTTTTTAAAATTGGGGAGGGATAAAATGAGGCAGATATCTGCAGGATGTGAATTCTACTCACTAGGAGCTATGACAGCAAAAACACCATCACCTACTGAGACACGATGAGGTGATGTCAGGCAAGTTTTCAGAAGGTTCTGAATACAGCCAGGACCTATGTACATTGTTCAGGACTTTGAAATGCAAAAGGGAAACCTCAGAATCAATCTTCTACTACTGTAAAGGCAGTCAGTATAAAAACAAAACATGGGCACAACACAATCATGGCTGGTTTCTTCCTGTGAGCAGTTGCGGCGTTGCATGCCATGGCAAGGCTGCTGAACCAAGAGCAACAAACTTTAAAGGCCTCATGCAACAAACTACTAATTGACCAGAACATGAGGATTTTTTGTTTCTTGAGTTGTATTATTTCTACATTGGGAAAGCTGTCAATGTGGGAAGGGGAGAGGAAATACAGAGGAGAGCTATTAGGTGGCACAATGGGTCAGTGCAATAGTTCTTTAGCTCAGGAGTCCTAAGTTAAAATCTGGGCTCAAGTCCCATGAGTTTGATGGTCTCATTCTGTCTCCACTTGTTCACATCACAAAAGAAGCATAATATTTTGTACTACTGGTAGTCTCTGCTCAAGCAAACTCCACTGCTGGAATAGCTAGGAGCTTCCATAAAGCAGTGGCAATGCTGTCCTAGAAAGTTTGCATAACACCTGCCCCAGAAAGGTGGGTTCCAGTTGGTCTACATAATTAGTCCCTTGGTTACATGATCACTAAATCCACTTACAAATTTTAAACATTAATCTTGAAGGAATTATTTTAATGACCAAGACAGAAGGGAAAAACTATCAACAGATTAGATTCCTTCTATCTAGAGATCCATAGATATATTTGACTAATTTTGATTAGCAGGAGAATAACTGAAAATGAACCCAAATGTCTTTCTTTTGATTGATACATTAGTTCTAAATCAAGTTGGGAATTAATTTAGAATCTCCAACACTAAGTTCTTTATAATGACAGCATCACATAAGTCATCCCTTTCTAGCAAAATAACTACTTCCTGTGATAGATGTTCAGATTTGCCAATTGTAATTCAGAATGTCATTTTTCAAATAAATGTGTTTATTTGTGCTGAGGAAAGTTCATTCCCTTTTAAACTTTTGTGCCGTTGGGATGAAAAAAATAAAATGGACATTTTTCTTTAAGATCCTCCTGACATTTCAAACAAACAAGCTGGATATGCCAGTGACAGGGACTGAACAGATGGAATGTATACAATTCCTTTCTACATCTAGCCAAAAACTACCCCATATGACTTCTCAAGACAGTTTTTACGGGAAGGAACTTGGTCTTGGCAGAATTTATAATGTTAGGATAAGGTCCATGGAGAAAGAGCATTTATCCATGGAACTTGCTTTCTAACTCTTAATATATCCCTCAGCGTGCAAAGAAATGGCAGAAAAGTACTTTTTCTCTGTAACAATCATTAGCATATAGTCTGTAGCAATCTTTAGCTGCAAAAAACACATTTTTACCTATCCAACTTGAGGAGTGAAATCCAGGGGAGTTTTGTCATTGACTTAAATGGGGCTGGGCTTTTACCCAAGGACTCTGTTCATCAATCACCTGTGCGCAACACCGGGGTCTACCTGCACATAACAGGATAAAGACCTATCCCTTGAATTCTCTTGTCAGAGCTGCATCTTTGCAGAAAGGCAGTTGCTGTGTACTCTCTGTACTATTCTTAATAATATGATATAATTTTTTTAGGTCTAAATATTTTGAAGAATCTTACTCTTAGTCTTCACATACATTTTATTTTATTATATATTATTATTAAAACACGTGTACTTTTCATTTGTTCACTAAACTCAAGAAGTGAAACACAGGTCCAGCTTAGATATGTATATGAAAGTCTTGATAATTTTTTTTTATTTTTAAAAGAAAAAGGACAATAGAAACTTTCCCTCCTAAATCAGCACTTTGAATTCAGCCAAGGTCCAAAATGAATGACAATTGTTACCATATGATTAGAGTTAGTTCAAAAATTAAAACAAAAATGTGCAAAAATGATGGTTTGGGGTTTATTTGTTTTTTTGCATTTTTTTCCCATCAGAATTTTGTAAAATGTCTTCCATCTCTAGAGCTGGTTGAAAAACATGAAAAAAGCCACAACAATTTAATTTACTTTTTGTGGTTGTTGTTTGCTTAAAATTTACTTGAAACACCAAATTTCAGAAAATTTCAACCAGCTCTCTATCTGATGGATGTTTTGTAGCCCACGAATTTGATTATCTTAGTCTCAGTCCAAAAATCCACTATCCTCCTGGGAGCTGGCAATTTTACTGATAATCTCAGCAGAAAGGCCATAAGTTAAACAGGGCTGGAGACTGAACTGCTCTCTCAACTCTAGAGATGATCTCTTCAGATTAGGGGGTGGGACAGTGTGGAGAGGCTTCAGCTAGCACTGTCCATGCCTTATCTGTTCTGAAGATAAAGACATACCTTTTCTTTCCAGGCTGTGATGGGTGTACCAACCTCACAGTGGGCCAGAAGGGGTTAATGAGAGTCTGTGGGCTCAATAAACTTCATCCTGCTACACCTGCAGTAGGTGTCAACCCTGGAGGGAAGAGTTAAAAGGGCTGAACCCAGCTCAGCTGGGGGCTGACCAAGAAGTAGAGCAGATTGTTGGCTATTACTCAGTGAGAGAAGCTTGGCTGGAGTGAGGCTGTTGAGTTGGACTGCTGGCAGACAGCGCCTCCCTGAAGGAAGGTAGGTAAGCCTGCATCAGGCAGCCCAAAGCAGTGGTGAGGGAAAGCTAGACAAGTAAGTCTATCCAGGATTCTCCATGCTGGTGAAAGAGCCTGTAGGGAGCAAGGGCTGTCTGCCAGAAGAGTAGAGAAAGCTCTTCTGCAGCAGAACCAGCTCGGTGGCAGAAAGTGCTAAGAAGCTCTGCCATAAGACTGTGGAAGAAGCTTAAAGAGAGAGCTGCTTATACACTGTGAGCCTGGGAAATGTCTGTGGGAAAGCCCCAAGAGGGCAAGGTAAGAACTAGTCCAGCGAGAGAGCAAGGGGACTGTGTAGGCAGGCCTTGACTGCTTATTAAAGGGTCCCGGGACTGGAACCCAGTGAAGTGGGAGGGCTTAGGTTCCCCTACTGGCCCAATGAGGAAGGTGGAGTAAAACCCCCCTGGCAAGGGGTAAGGACTGTTGAAACCCCCTGATACCTGAGATAAGGACTACTGATTCTGGAGTTGGACTGAATAAGAGGTCAATGGACTACTCTTTGTTGGATTCTTGGCTCACCCCAGAAGGGGTGGCTAGGGTTGCCAATTTTGGTTGGATGTATTTTTGGAAGTTTCATCACATGACATAATCTTTAATTAAAGATTAATCTCTAAAGTCTCCAGGAGACTCCAGAACAGTCCTGAAGAGTTTGCAACCGTAGAGGTGGCATTATTGTGACCCGGCTGGAGGGCCAAGTTTCAAGAATCTGAACATCACAGGTGTCAGTGGAGGAGAGCCTCCTACACCACACAGAGCCACAAGGGGATGTGCTAGCTAGTGAGTCACACTCATACACATGCCTGTTAACAGAACACCTTTAGTGAGCGAAAAAATATCACTCTCACACAGAAAAAAACACAAACATTTCCCAGGATTTTACCTTAAATAATTTAATTGCTTCAGTTTGTAGGGCCTCTGATGGCAGTGTTGTAAGAGGGGAAGCAATTCCTTCTTTGCTGTGACAAAGAGTAGGGTGTCTCCAAATTTGAGAGGCTGAACAGATAATACATGGTCACTGCTTGCAAGTAATCATTTAAGATAATGACTTTACATAATATCTTTCATCCAAAAGGAACATAGCTTATAAACTCTTAATAACTGACTTTACATATGGGAATCATTTTGGCCACCAATAAAGTGCAGCCAACTCCTAAAAATGCATAGGAACACTTTTAATAGTAAAATAAGAGTCTCTCATTTGTTTGAAATTTCAGGGCAACTGAAGTAGGCAGAATCCAATTACCCATGTTGTAAAAGATCTTGGGGGGGGGAAGAGTCCTGGTATTTTTAATAACTGCAGGTATCATCAGACCTAGGTGTTACATCTCACCTGGAAAAACATTGCTTCCCTAGCACAGTACTCCCTAACACCTTGCTAGATAGCGATTCAGCAGAAAAACAAACTCATCTGTCTTTATGACTGAATATCAATCACTACTTTTTAAGCAAAATATGTATTTGGTTTCCATTCTGACCCTCCAAACACCTAGTACAATGTATCACAGTTGAGTTGAAAGGGTCTTCCCTATGTATTTTCCCATGTAGCCATGTTTATGGCTTTCAAATTCTGACAGGTATGGGAATGATATCACCATTCAATGCATCAAACTATTTCTTACAGAGCTTGAGTTTTTTCCCTAGAAATCTCCCATTCAAGTATTGAACTACCTCAAATCTGATTAGTTTGAGATCACTGTTTGAAGTGGTATGCTCTGTTGTGTGTGTCTAATCAAAACAGTACATTCAAGGTAGGCAAGTCTGGTACAACTCCTGTTCACTTGGCTCATTGTTTCCAAGGTTCATACCCCAATGATAAGTTCCTACATAAAGTTATTTTATTTTAGAAAAGTCGATACCATAAGGATCTGCTTAGAAGAGTTTCAGAAGTCACATTTCTGGCCCAAGAGGCTCAACAAGACCAACTGCCAGATTAGTTCTGAACACCAGAATCTAGCCACTAGTGTGATTTAACTTGCCTGGACTAGTCGGGCACAAGAACTCAAGCATCTTCTTACCTTATGTGTGGGAAGTGACTTACACTCAGGAGATGCTAGGGACTAAATAAATGAAAAAGTATAGCAAGCTATGCTACTGTGACATACTATGGACAAGAGAACAGTGCTGATATATTGTAGAGGACTCAGAACATCGCCACTTTCCTTGTTGATTGCCTTAAGGGCAGCACACACATTCTCCTTTTGCTTTATAAGACTCTGCTAAAAGCTATTTTTTTAGGCTTTAACTAGTTAAGTGTAGACACCCAACATACAGCCTTGCTCGTGTTGTCTAATATCAGCAAGTTTAGGGCCTGATCCTGAAAACGCTAACTCACATGAACTAATCCTTATTCCAATATATAGTCCCATTGATTTAAATGGAACTACTCACAAGGATAAGGTCCGCAGATCAGTCTCAGCATTTGTAACAGCAGATGCCCCAGCTAAGAACATTCTTCCACAGACTTTAGAGCAGCGGTGGGCAACCTGTGGCCCATGGGCCACACGTGACCGGTTGGTAATCCGCTGGCGGGCTGCGAGACAGATTGTTTACACGGACCATCCGAAGGCACGGCCGCCCACAGCTCCTAGTGGCTGCAGTTGGTTCACTGTTCCCAGCCAATGGGAGCCGCAGGAAGCGACAGCCAGCCCGCATCACTTTCCGCAGCTCCCATTGGCCAGGAACGGTGAACCACAGCCACTGGGAGCCACTGGCCCACTAGTGGATTACCCTGACAGGACACATGTGGCCCGCAGGTTGCCCACCACTGCTTTAGAGACTGAGTGTCTACAGCTGAGCTAGAGATATTTAAATAAATTAAAAACTCAGTTTCTATTTCCAAATACAACAATGTTTTGGCCATAAGGAACAAGATGTAATTCTGAATTTGGGCAGACAGACACATATCATAAAGCTTCAGCTCATTTTTGACTCTTCATGGGAGACTATTGTGTAACTTGCTCATGCCTGATCCTGCTGCAGCAGCACCGTGTGGGGGCAAATGGCCATTTCTCCAAAATCTATGTCTACCCCAGTTTAGTGCAGGAGTGGGTTTATTTTGGCAAGGTGAAATTTCTGCCATGAGTACTCAACGTGCTTGCTTGTTGGCAAGAAGAGAAGTGACTCAATAGTCCTTTGTTTAATAAAACCTACTTCTTTTATGGCACTTTCAATCAGTAGATATCAAAGCACTTTACAAAGGACGTCAGTATCATTATTGCCATTTTAGAAATGGGGAAGCAGAAGCACCAAGAGGGGAAGTGACTGGCCCAAGGTCACCCAGCAAGACAGTGGCAGAGCCAGGAATAGAATCCAGGTGTCCTGTGCTTCCCTTTCTCCCTGTACAACACCTCAGAAGAGCCTCACATTTATTTTAAGTCTCATAGAGGAAACAGGCTGGAATGGGTACTGTTGGTATGATGTTCAAGGGCTGAAATAGTCCTATCTTTGTAGGAATCAAGTTTGCCCCTGCTGCCCTTCTGTTTAGCAGAATCATCATGCTATTGTCTGTGTCAAGACTAAAACTTTAATGACTTCAATGACCCATAATTTATGTTATGTAATGTTTTGTAATTCTGACTGGCAGTAGCAGAGCCAGGTTTTGAGCACTTGGAGCGTGGGTGGAGGGGAAAGATAGGTATTGGTGGTGCCACCTTCAGTTATACCTACTGGCTTGAAAATGTACCACACATTGACCTAAAGGCTGCTGGGGAGGCACTTGCGTCCCCCATTATCTCCACCACTTCGAAAAGAAAGGGTGCTAGTACTAAATCATCTACAGAGTTGTAGCCCTGGTTTGCATTTACAAGGCCTTCTGTGTTCAGACCCTGATGTAAACAAACAAGTAGCACTTCTTACTGGGCCAAGAGATCTCTGAAAGATTTGGAGCCCTTTGATCCTGCAGGCAGCACAGGTAGTCTAAACCAACCATCTCTACTAGTCACCTAGATAGCAGTGTCCTAACTCATTAGCAACCAATAAATATAACCCCATCAGTAGCACATTATAGGAATGTCAAGTACATTAAAATGGATGGAAAGTTCTAAGGGGTCTTGGCCCCTTTTGTGGTTAATTCACTTTTGTGGTTAATTCATATTAAAATTGGAAGACAAAAGGCCCAAAAAAGCCTACTATGGAGCTCTTGCTTCTCTGTGAATAAAGTGTTTTGAATGTCTGTAAATGTCTCAGGTCTTTTCTACTGAAACCTAGTGACTAAACATTTACTGTTCATGAAAAACATGTTCTGAATTAACAAACTGACTATATCAAAACACAAGTATTAAAAGCACTAGAAGCTCTGCCTACAACTATAACTTCACTTTTGATATGTACAAAAAAGAGTGACAAATTTGGGACAAATACACTTGGAATATAGTTGATCAGATAAGTATTAAGATTATGTGGAACCAGAAATAAACTTACTGTGCTCCCCTTCCACATTTAACAGTTTGCAAACAAGCTGTTCAAATTCTGATCCAACATTTACATTGGTGCTCCCAGCAGCCACAGTCAAATGATAAAGCCAAGTGTCCTATAAGACAAAAACAAACAGAACCCAATCATCATTCCAAGCAGATTTTTGAGAGTTTAAAATATTAAATATTTTATTGAAATTTTCCAAAACAAAGAACTTCAAAAATATTTATTTTCAAAAATTCTACAGATGAATTTGGCACTCATGAACAATATCAATTGCTTCATACACACAGATTCTCAAGAAAGCTTAGCCAAAACATCTTAATCCTGACTTGCAGCAAGCTTTCTAGTCTACATATAGGTGTCTTTTGAGCAGAAAGTGCACTCAAGCCAGATGTGATGAATGTTCAATAGAGACTAGGAAGAGGGCACACACCTTATTTTTTTCACATGTAGTTGAGACAGAATTTAAATGACTGAAAACTGAATTGCGGGGCACTAACTCACTAAACCACTGAGTCATCTTATAAGAAAGCTTTTCTCCCCACCTCAGAGTAGTGTTATACCTTCCTGTGAAGGCCCAAGGATTTCCCCTTATTTTACTTCCCTATCCCTGATCAAGGCCTTATATTAAAATCACCATTCATTTTAGCCAAGGAGAGCAGAACTGAGTCAGCGATCATCAAGAGATGCAAAGTATTCCCTCCTCTCCTCTCTAAGAGGCAAATATGATGTCTTTGTATTAATTATTGCCCTTCCCACCTGGGGAATAAGATCAGGAAACAAAATGAGGTCTACAAGACTGTTAAAACTTTTATTTTATAATGCTCTGAAATAATCTCTCTCATATTATTCCTGTTAGTCTTCCCCTTAGTGTACACTAGTTACCATTACGGCAGTAAGGATAGGAGTCCACACAGGAAAATCTACTGACATTTTCCAGATACCTTAAATGGGGTCAGTTAACTATAGTGATCACTCAAACTCTGATAAGTATGTGTAAAAGTGTGACCATTTGTCTGTTAGATCAGACCACCTTCTAGATGGTCTAGCAAAAAAGCCCCTTGTCTCTGACTGTCCACATCTTACTCACTGCAGAAAATGTTCATAACACAGTACCATAATTACAGCTGTCTTACTGAAACTTAAGAGATAGGGTACATTTACTACCTTCTCATGTTTCGATCCTATAAGAAGATAGGTAGGTCCTTGCTCTTTAGGATGGATAAGAATGGTATAATGTGTTGATAATAGACTGCGACCACTGGCCTCATAATCTTCATCTGAATCACATGACCTGTCAACTTCTTCAACTTTAGCCTCCCAAAGCTTGATTTGACCCAGAGGAAACTAAAAGTAAATATAAGAAATAGTCAGGGAGCAAATATACATCTTGGATAACATCAGTTTTACAGTTCTTGATCTACAAATGAAGAGAAACTGATAAACTATAATCAACATGTTTTGAACATTTGACATTGGGGAAGTCCATAAAATTCTATTCTTTTAAGGTCACTAAGAACTGTAGCATAAGCCACCTTCCCAGTTTACAATCCCGGAGGAGAGGAAGCGTGATCTTGTCATTAAAGCACAGTCCTAGGAATAAGAAGACTTCAGTTCTATTCCCACCTCTGCTACAATATATCTACAGGATATATTGTTCTTGATAGTTGCACATGGAATGTGCAACCTATCTGACACAATAGGTCTTGTCTCTGGGAGAAGATGCAACCCTTGAGATATCCCAGGCCCAATCCATTTGAGGATTCTCAAGCTCAAGACCAGGATGCTGAATTTAAATTTAGGGCATCTCTACATGTACAGTGCTGCAGTGGCGAAGCTGCACTGAGGCAGCTGCGTCGCTGCAGCACATCTGGTGAAGATACTCGTATGTCGACAGGAAAGCTCTCCCCCGTCGGCATAATAAAACCACCTTCGCAAGTGGCAAAAGTTCTCCCACCGACATAGTGCTTTCCACACCGATGTTTATGTGGTGTAACTTATGTCACTTAGGGGGGTGGCTTATTCACAGCCCAAGCAACGTAAGTTCTTTCAACATAAGCTGTAGTGCAGACATAGCCTTAATCTCGTATTTGATGGGGCGTCACTGTGGCAACTGGAGCATCACTATTGCTGCCATTGGATCCTTTTCAGTGTCTTCAGTTTAATTCTCAGGTATAGTGGATTGCAGTATTTAAGCCTGGAGGTTACAAATGCATATATGACTATGGTCAAGTCCTCCTCTGTCAGGATGGATCTAGTCTATCAGTCAGCTATCGGTGAAAGAAGCAGTTTTTCATAGGTGTAACTATGTGGGCATCCACTATCAATGAGGAATACCGAAGGACACAAATACTACATACCATTTTCACAATTAGTAGGTGGGCTTATGCCCTCTAAAGAGGATGATATCATCATGCTGGCTAGTTTCTTGAAAGATCTCCCTTTCCCTACCTTTGTCTGGAGTATCATTTGTGTACTGCTGTTTATCAAGGCTGTGGTATCTTAAGACCATATATTTAATATGATGGGTGAGGGAAATGAGACTTGAGGAACTTGAGGAGCATCTTCCCATCACTCTGAGCTGAGTCTGATAGAAAGGATAGGAACCATTTCAGTGTGCTGCCACATATACCTGGTAAGAATTTGAGATAAGCCAGCACAACTTCATGGTCTATGGTGTCCAGTGCTGTGGAGAGATCCAGCAAAAAGAGAAGGGATATTTGTCCATGACCAAGAGCAGGTTGTGCACCATATTTATGGCACATTATTGGGTGGGAATGTTTTTTAAATATCACCAGAGACCAGGTGTAGTTGATGCTGACTCTTTGCCAGCTTCTCAATAATCTTGTTAATAAATTGGAGATTGGGTACTAGGAAGTAGCTGGCAAGTTTGATTGCATCAAGAATTGTCGTCTTGGATGCTGATTGGAAAATGAGTGTTTTAACATGAGTGGTAAGGTACCCCCTTTGAAGAAGGCATTGGCTGTTAGTGAAGGATGCATATTTCTTGGTTGTACTTCACTAACCAGAATGGACATGGGTCAAAGATACATGTGCTGGCTTGCCTTTCCTGTAGTGCTTCTTAATTTCTTCCTTTATGAACCGGCCAAATTCTGAGAAAGGGGCTGTTTAATCCTAAGGTTCAGAGATGCCATCTCAGTTCCAAGAAACCTTTGCTATGAAGTACTTGTGCTAAACAGTATTTTTATTAAACTTAAATTAGGTTTACAAGAAGCTGTGTTGACAGATGATTTCAGTTAGTGTAATCCTTCTCCATTGTTTGGCACATGGTTTTCAAAACAATAATGCTATTTTGAATCCTTTTAACCAAATGGACTCCATTAATGTAACATATACAGCAGTTTACATTACTGAATGCCTCACAGGCTCTTTATTTCTATACACACATTCCATTGTAATATAAACATGTTTTCAGTTAGCAACTCCTCGAATATTGAAAAATAAATCAGTTTTGTCTTTGCATATGCAGTATTTTTAAAGTACATTCTGATTATGAAAGCTGCACTTCTTCCACATTACCATTTAATAAAATAGTTGTTCATTTTGGTTTAAAAAACTGCAGTAAAACTTACCCAAATGTTAGACAACTATTTATGATGAGCCAGCTAACTGCCTATGTATTTCTAAAGGGCCTGCTCACAAGGAATAATTTTCAAAGATAAGAACTTGAAAATGCTTGTACTTTAAACATACAGATTTCTTACTATAATTGAGGTGAATACCAATTTGTCATCAAATCTCAGTCAATCTTTACACTGAAAATGTAAACATACCTTTTCTTAGTAGCTTCTCTGTAAAATGAGTTAGAAATTAATATTCTGAAATGAAAGTTTTACTGGATTTTGGAACATTATAGCACTGGTATACTTTCAAAGAGTAATATTAAATAAACAAAAATCCTGAAGTATGGCTTATTACTACTTGTTACAATGTACAGTACCGTAAATAAGCACTACTTTACTAGTTTAAATTTTCCACTTGCCTTCAATGACATTACTCACACTGCAAAGTTACTCATATGGCCTAGTGTTGCTAGGATCTGGCCCTAAATCAAGAACAAACAGCAGGAGGCAACAGGGAGAAGAAGAAAAAGGGAAGGATGATGGAGAAAACAATATGCCAGATCTAAAGCCCAGTGAAATCACTATTAAGCCTGACATGGTTACATGCTTGTTTAGAAGGATAATGTATATGTATGCCAAAAGTAACAATGGAGGTTCTCTGTGCTGCTTCTACTATTATTATTTTAATGATTTAATGGAGTCAATACACAGTCAACTGGCTATTGAGTTTAACTTTAATAAGGTTTGAAGTGAGTGAAATAAAATATTGTTAACGGCTGAGTTTTAGTATAAGACTGCTCAGATATCACCAAAATCCCCATTTTCCATCTCAGCAATGGAGACGTTTGGTCAGAGCAGTGGGAGAATGCACTGCCCAGAACGGGGGGGTGGGGCGGCATATTTCTGAGAAATGCTCCCCCATCTCAACAGGCGATGAGCTGCAATACTGGTTGGACCAGAAAAATGGATGCATCACTTCCAGAACGCGGGAACGGAGTAAAGCATGTGACCACAGATGGAGGAGCTGGGCCCCTTCTCTTCCTTGGGTTCTTGCATCCCACTGGCTGTTTGTGGGAGAGTGGGAGCTGACTGGCCCCTGCACTCCCCCTCCCAACAACCAAAACTTTCCCCCAGTCATCCCGAGTCCCTTGCCTCTTCAGCTGCCCTGCCCGACCCCAGGAACTCAATAGGTGCCCTGCCCTCCCTTTAGTTGTAGACAGTGAACTGTGCTCCCAAAAAACAGACAGTCAGTCAAACCTACAGCATCTTGGAATCAGGAAGGATTTTTTCCCCACTGGGCCAAATAATTGGCAGTGGTCCAGTGGGTTTTTCACTTTCCTTGCAGCACTGTGAAGGCACAAGTGGGGTAAAGAAGACGACCTGGATGTCTGTATATTGAGGGATAATATAGGAAGGTTCAACTTGTTGCAACATGAGGCTGAAGTACAGGGCAGATAAAGGCTAAAAGGGCCAGCTGCAGAGATCAATGAGACTGAAGATTTATGCTGGTGGACCTGTAAGGAGAAGAGGAGACCTGAAGTCTTTGTAGACCAAAGTTCCCCCTTTAGTACCCTGAACCCCCCTTAGGGGTGAAAGGTGAGAGGACTTTAGAAGTGAGCTAAGTCCAGGGGGATAGGCTGAAGAGTCTACCCTCAGTTATTTGTTCTATGGTAGGAGCCTGTAACCCTGCACTAGGCTCAGTTAAATGCCTGGCATGAGATGGGTAGGCATATACTATTCATAACCAGTGTTAGTTAATAAAGTTGCAGCATCTCGATTAAAAATCCACCCTAGTGTCTATCTTTCATACACCTGAGAGTCCTGAGCAAACAAGTCACATTATTTTAACCATTAGAAAGACATACCTTATCTTCTTGACTACGGAAATAGTAAAGAGTTTTTCCAACCAGAGTACACCACACTCTTTTGGAGTATCCATGTTTCACCTGAAATTACAATATAGTTAAGTACAAATTATTTTTAATGTAAAACTTTTTTCTGAGATGGGCCCAGCCAGTGAAGCTTAGATACATATTTCAATTTCTCAGAATTCTGATGGCTGGAATAAAGAATTCCTGTAAAACATTACTATAAATATAAAAATTTGAAGCTGCATGACTTTCTGTATTACAGGCATTACAATTAAAACATAACAGGCCTGATTCAAAGCCCATTCAAGACAGCAGTAGTCTTTCCATTGGCTTTGGATCAGGTCCTACATAGAAAAAGCTGAGGAAATAAAAATTGGAGGGGACACTCAAACTACTACAACTAATGGTAATTAGAACTCTAATAGTGCCTTACACCCAAGAATTTACAAGCACTTCATGAAAATTAAGTATCCCATATGAGGAAGGTAAGTCTTAACATCCCCATTTTACAGCGGAATAAAAGCAAAGGCACAGAGAGATTAAGTTATGTCACACAATAAGTCAGCAACAGTCAGGAGTAGAAGCTGAGAGTCCTGACCACTGAGTTCTCTGCTTTAATCACCAAATCAGATTCCCGCCCATGCTAACTTTGACTAACATCATTCCTTTGAAGAGATGAAAACTAGCTGGTGAATGGAGTGGGATAACTGAGAGTAAAGTTGGAGAATAACTGAGAGTAAAGTTGGAGTAAAGAATGGAGTGGGATAACTGAGAGTTGCCTGCTTCCCCCAGGTCCATTGAGTAAATTAGCACAAGGTAGTGCTAAGTGAGTGCATCTAGCACTCAAGAAGTCTGGTTATAACACAACAGCCATGGGAGCTGAAATGAAGTTCCCCTTTATTCCCCACTTATGAAGTGGCATCACTAGCTTTTTGAATGGGGAAAAACATTTTAGAACAATCTCTAGCAGTAAGGTTATTGTCCCATAACTGCACAGATTAGGACAGATAGTTTCCTCATTCCTACCTATTCTTCAATTCTCATTAAACCATTGTAAAGAATAAAACAGACACCAATACAATTTTTTTCAGAGACAGCTGTGAAACATAATGCTTTCTCACTGACATCACTGAAATAAAGGGATTCTCTTTCATTGATGTGACCTAGCTGGGAAATCATTACACTGGCTCAATGGTTAACTTTTTAATTTATTAAATATTTCAAAACTTTATATTTCTAAATAAATAAGGTAAGACAGTCTTGTATTCACTCATAAGTATCTACTATAATTGATATTCTATTTATGACCAAAAACAGCTGGTTTTAGAAGAGCATATGAAGTGACTGTATTCATGAAACCATGAACTTGAAAATCTTCTTTGTTTGTACCTAGTATAGTTATAAGACAAATACACCTGAAAAATAGGTAGAGAAAAAAGTTGTTCATCTCTATTTTTTCATGTTTGCTTTGTGAATTAGATAGCATTTGGTCTACAATCAATTTAAAAAGTTAAAATCCTAAAAAATCTGTTTTATATAAATTTTAATGGAAATATTAAAAGAATCTATGCCTTACTGTAAAAGTAAAGGAAATTAAACAAGAATAAAAGAAAAGCTACAGTTTAATTTAAACCTATAAAAGCAAACCAATTCCTCTTGTTCTGTTAATGCTTTAAAATTACAATTATAAACAAATTCCACCATCACCACAAGAAAACCCTTAATGGATTTGAACAAGCCTTGGTAAAAGTTAATTGCTGGAAGGCTTCATTAGGCTGTCGTAGCAAACCAACTATACTCATAAGTACAAAATACTGATGACGCTGAGGAGGAGGTGGCACTTTGCTGTGAAACAGCTATTGTTAAAAGCTACAGAAGAATTGATTCATCTTTAAATTTAAGCTATTTTAAATTAAGAATGGAAAGTGCAGTTTGTACCACAGTGTAACACCAAACTGAATTCAAACAGGGTAGAGAATCTGCATATCAAGTGATAAAAATAAGGAAGGTCTAGAATACATTCGTATAGACCAACATTACACTTTCATTGACTTTGCTATCTTAAAAACAGAAAGCCCCTTCCTGGTACTTCAGGCACTAGGCTCAAAATTTTCAAACACAGGTGACTAACATTACCTACATCCATGTTTAGGGTACTTAAATGAGCAGTCTGATTTTTTTTTTCCAGAGGTGCTGAGTGTGAGACCCAGATTTTAAAAAATTGGCCTAATTTTCTGATTACTAGGTAAATAGATTGGGTCAGATTCTCTGCTGTGCCCCAGCCCCTTTGTGCTGCTCTGGAGGTGCAAAGGGACAGGAAAACAGATCGATCTGGCCAGCTGATCACTTTCCCGGCATAAAGGTATACACAGCTAGTGCAGAACTAGGTCCTGCACCACATTCCCACCCAACCCTGATACTGGTGGCATCAGGAGCATGTACATTGACGGGATCATGCTGAGCTCTGGCTGTCCCCACCTCATGTATACTCCCTTGAGACAACTGTCAGCTGATTCTCTGCCATTAAGGGCTTTTCCATTAGTACTGACACAATACACAGACATATAGCATATTTAATAAGAAGCTGGAAGGTGTTTCATTCTTCACAGATCAGAGGAGAACCTAAAGGTGAAACCCCTGGTAAACTGCAATAGTTTCTACATTCCTGTGAATACATTAATGATACACAGTCGAAGAGCAACATCTAAATCTGATGAGTAAATTAACCTTAACATAGTATATTCCCTCACTCTACACACCATCCTCATTATCTTGAAATATCTTGTTTTGACTGCTGATGTTGGAAAAAAGAGAGTGCCTCTTACACAAATGTTTAAATTGAGGCATGTGCTGAATCAGGGCCCTAATGATGTACAAACAGAATTCAGCATGGAAGGTAGTGAATCAAGTGGCCAAATGAAAAAGACTTGCCAACTTAGATTTTTATTATGGTATAAGAGGAGTAGGCAGTCCTTCTGGTTTATTCACATTGTAAGAGACGCAAACCTAATAGCACGTCTACTTTAATCTATTTACTCTTATGCTAAATATTTATAGTACATGTACTTTTGGACTTTAATTTTGGGTGTCCCTCAAACAGCACTTTTGCAAAACCACACAAGGGTCAATGCCAAATACTGCAGCCAACTTAGATACTACTGTACAAAGAAGTCCTTGTTAAAGATCCAATTATGCTCCTGTTGAAACCAACTGGAGTTTTGCCACTGACGTCAATGGAAGGACTGGTTACTAAAATTAGTTTACTACAGGTGTTTTATACAGTTCTTGTTGCCTTTCTTCACTTAGAGATATTAAGCAGAAATATTTTTAAAAATAAAACCAGAATAAAAATACTTTGTTAGGGAAATAAGTGTCCCTACCTTGGTCAGCAATCCTTTCATGGCTGGCTTCACATCAGGCTGTATGAAAAGTGGACTAGCAGCCTGAACTTTAAGAACATTCTGCAGTACTTTGATCCACTCTTCTAAGATGTTTGGCGAATCTGCAGTCAGGTAGTATGTTCGTTTTTCTGTGATCAACTAAATAGTGACAGAAAAGATGCCTTCAGTTCTAGGAATATGATGAATTTCAACTTATTTAAAACAATACACATTTATAAATACAAAATATTTGCAACATTTTTACTGTCAATTTTCAGAGTAGAACCGCTTAATGGCCATGCAGAGCAGGCAGCCCTATAGTTGAGATCTCATTTGAAAGATCCCCCTATAGTAAATTACATGGGATTCATTTTACCTAAGTTGGAATCGCAACTGGTGGCATGTGAACCTGTGGTTTCAGAGTGCTTGGAGCACAAAGCCATTCCCTCTGGGTTACATGTTACAGGTAACAATCTTACCTTGACAAGAATATGAAAAAGATAATCCTATATAGTCTTTTCCATCTCCAGTTTCTATGATTGAAACAATCCCTCCCCCCTCAGATGGAGGGCACTGACTGCCTCCAAAAGGAAACATATTTGGAGGAAGTGTCACTTTTAGGGGTGGAAAGAGACGACCCTCTAAAAATACAAGGAGACAAGGAAGCACCTGAACTGTTTGTTTTCCATCACCTCTTACAATGTGGCTGGATACGCTTAACTCAATTTGACCTTGTGGCTTTCGAATTACATCACTCTGTGTGAAAGAATGGGAAAAAAAGGATAATTCATCTGTAATAGTAATACAATACTGGTATAACACATTTAATACTTGATCACTGGAAGCATCCAGCACCTAGGATGGGGCAGGCAAACAGACCATTTAATCCAGCCCTCAGCTCCTGCCGGGAAGCAGGATCAGGGTTGCCCCGCTCCAGCCGGAGAGCAGGGTCAGGGGCTTGCCCCACTCCGCGCGGCTCCCAGGAAGCAGCTGGCATCACTCCCCCCTCCAGCTCCTACATAATATGTGGAGGCATGGCCAGGTGGCTCTGCACGCTGCCCTGTCTGCAGGCACTGCCCCCGCAGCTTCAATTGGTTGCGGTTCCCGGCCAATGGGAGCTGCAGGGGTGGCACCTGTGGACGGGGCAGTGCACAAAGCCGCCTGGCTGCACCTCTGAGCCAGAGGGGGGACATGCCATTGCTTCTGGGAGCTGCTTGCAGTAAGCGCCACCCAGAGCCTGCACCCCTGAACCCTCCCCCCAAGACCCAATCCCCTGCCACAGCCCTGATCTCCCTCCCGCCCTCCAAACCCCTTGATCCCAGCCCAGAGCCCCCTCTTGTACCCCAAGCCTGTGATCCCCAGCCCCATCCCAGAGCCCTCATCCCCCCTGTGCCCCAACACCCTGATCCGCCTCCAAACCCATTGGTCCCAGTCCAGAGCACCATCCTGCACCCCAAACTCCTCATCCCTGGCCCCACCCCAGAGCCTGCACCCCCAGATGGAGCCCTCACACCCCTCCCCTGCAAACCAGCCCCCTGCCCCAGCCCTGATCCCCCTCCCACCGTCTGAATCCCTTGATCCCAGCCTGGAGCCCCCTCTAGTACCCCAAACCCCCCATCCCCAACTCAGAGCCCTCTCCCCCCTGTACCTGAACCCAGAGCCTCCTCCCACACCCTAAACTCCTCATTTCTGGCCCCACCTCAGAGCCCACACTCCCAGCCAGAGCCCTCACCCTATCCCGCATCCATACCCCTAATTCCGTGAGTATTCAAGGCCCACCATGCAATTTCCATACCCCGATGTGGCTCTCAGGCCAAAACATTTGCCCATCCCTGACCTAGCAGGTACAGTGCCCTGAAATCCCATAAGATAAAAGTTGAGGGTGTTCAAAACTTTGAGGAACTGGGCTCTTTATTATGAAATGTTTAATTTAATGTATTCAAATGAAGAAATTTATTTTTCCATCTGGCAATTTTAGAGTCATTTAGAGGAATCAGGAACTAAACAGCAAACACATTACTCATACTCACCGGAGACTTGTAGTACAATAACTCACCGCCTTTGAGCACAAACCATCGTCGTTTCCAGGTTTTTACTTTGCCACCCATTTTTAACAAATATCCAGATTTTTCCAATGGCTCCTGATTATTTAAAATAAAAAATAAGGGATGTAATATATTATAACAAGGTATTTTGCCAAAGAAAAAAATGCCTGCATGGTAAATGATAATTATTACAATACTTTAGCTTTTTATAGTAGAAAGATCCAGTTTTTACATGCATTAAGATTCATGAGAGACAAAGTATTTTTCCTATTTTACAGTTAGACAGAGGTACAGAGATTTGATGCACAGTAAGAGCTAAGAACAGAACCCAGGACTCTTGTTGCACAATAAGAGCTAAGAACAGAACCCAGGACTCCTGATTCCCAGACCCAGGCTCTAAGCATTATACAACATTTTAATTAAATAATTATAAAAAACATTCCACATAAAGCTTGTCATTTTAAAAATATATATGCTCAACCCCTAACTTCTGGCCTAACCGACTGAACAGTCCCAGAGAATTGTAATTCCGCAGCTGCACACCAACACATCTTTAGTGCAAACACCAGCAAAACAAAGCTCAGGGTTTGCTCTCTGAGAAAAGTGTCAGGAATTGAGGGATATGGTTCTCATCCCCAATCAGCCAAGCTGCTTGGATACCCAGGCCACCGTCATTAATACAAGCGGTAGTGAGGAATACAGTTGCAACACGTTACCCAACACTGTGGGTTTGGATTCTGTGATCTGTGCAGCATGCAGACCCACTGACCACACGTCTGATATGCTCACAGTCCCCCACATCCTATGTGAGGAAGTTCCAGACACCCCATCTATGGAAATCTTCTGTACTGTATACAAGGTGGTACGTAATTCTCCCCACCCCTGACCCTCTAGTGGGGTCTCTGCTGTTGCTGGTGCTGAGGCTGCTCCTCTGTACACCCAACCTGGTTCTTTTACGCTGTGTTTAGATATTTCACACACAATAGGTCACCCCAAGTCAGCATATGGGTCATTTAATTAATCTGAACACACTGCTACTTGTAATCATTACACTGTGTGCCAAGCAAATTTAGTACTGGGCTTTGTTAACATTAGGTGTAGAAGAAAGAAATACTATTATTCTTTGCATAACTTTGGTACTCACATTTTTTCCATTATCACTAGATGAGGAACAGGTTTTAGGGAGTTTCTGCTCTGGCTCTGAATAGTCTGTATCTGTTGAGTAGGCATCAGGGGGAATAGCATAGTCACTTTCTGAGGTCATAGAAGACAAAGACACACCTGAGCAAAAAGGCAAAAAAGATGCCAAATGTATATTTCTTTGCCATCATATTTTAGATATGAGAAATCGGGCACGGGTATGGAGGGAACAGCTGAGCTGGGAGTTGTTGACAAACTAAAATATTAATAGCATTCCAGGGGAATTAAATATTTTTGATGAGAATATCAAGCAGTGCAAGTAAATTCCTTAAAAGTAATAAAGTGTTTATTTAGGAATTTGGCAATGCTCCTGCCACATAAACATAAAGAATGCCAAGCACAATGTGAAAAATGTTATGTTCAAGAACATGATTAAAAGCAATTTAATATTTATGGTTGTAAAATATTCTTAAATTTCAACTTATTATCTGAACTCAAAGCAGAAGATATATTGGGAAAAATTAAACTTTCTCACATGGTCTACAGTTTTCAGCTACTGGAAAATAATTATTTAAATAGACTACTGTAAGTCATCAACTTTGGAAGGCTTATTTGACTTTCAAGTGAAATCTGCAGCCACTGAAATTTACAGGGATCGATTCTTGATTCCTCTGTGCAACTGCAGCAATGTAAATGGTCCTTAGAATGCTGTAGAAACTCCTGGACAATACTTTACAGCATAAGTGGATTTCCAAATGATGTAGAGTTGCTGCAAAAAAAACTTTATCCTTCCATCTCTACAGCCCCCAGCATAAGGGGCAAGCCAGAGCCACACTTTAGCTATTCTCAGCTGGTGGAGAGCAGCCAGAGCACAAGTTAGAGCAGTCCTAAGGCTGCCAGCAGCCCATCATTAATTTCTTCACTTCCATAAATCAGGTTCAGTGTATATGACAATGTCTCTTTGTCATTCTTTAATCTTCAAAAAGAAACAGTGTTCTCTAACTCCATCTCTCTCTGACAATGTGCATAAGAGAGTGATCCTCAGCACCTCAACAATCAAATTGAATTAAACCATGAAACGGGGATTCACAATATGAACAGGCTGTTAGTTATGAATTAAAACTAAAATTATTCCAAACAGGTGTGCAAACACTCCAGTAAGAAACAAAAATATAATACTGCCACATCCTGTTGTCACTGCTTCATCTAAGAGCAAGATATCAGGAGAATCTTTCTTTCAAAGGAACAAAATTCCAAAGGAAATAATTCAGTGATTCCATAAAGTCTCCAATTGACTACACTTGCCCATAATTTCAACAGCCATAGATCAAATATTAATTTTCTACCCAAAAAGCACTGAAGCCCATATTCCTTACAATCAAATGGGGCTACTTAATGACTTATGAATGAAGGAAAATATTTACAGTCTCTTGTTTAAAACATTTGTTTACATATATATATCTTTTAAATGCCATCAGATTAAATAAATTAAGAGTTCTGCAGTAGATCACTAGCATTTCTGTACATCATATTACGTCTGTCTATTTTTTGGTGATCAAGTGTGGGATCTTCATGCTAAAGTATAAATGATTTTTCTTTCCTTTTTCTTTATCATCTGGTTCTCTCAGGTAGTTAGTTGCCTGTATGGCAGATGAATTGCCCAAAGGTCTGTCATGTACTTAGATTATAGATGAGCTGTCTAAATTGCCTTTCCCTGCCACTCTTATTTTCTTTGACTCGCAATGAATGTGGGGAATTTTTGTACTGTCAGTTATGAATAAGAGCCTGTGCAAATTTTTTCCTGTCAACAAACTGTGTATTCAAATCCAGTTTCAGAATAAAAACAAGTTTTAGCCCATGTCAACCTGTTTCTATCAAAAACCACATCCCGTTTTTGCCCTGAATGATTCACTAATATTAAAACAAACTCTTTGCTTATTCATCATAATGGGGAAAAAACATTTCCAAATGTGAAACAGTTTCCTTTTGAAAAGATTTACTTAAAACTACTGTTCAACTTGGAAGAGTTACTGTGTAACATTTTTCAGAGTAACAGCCGTGTTAGTCTGTCTTCGCAAAAAGAAAAGGAGTACTTGTGGCACCTTAGAGACTAACCAATTTATTTGAGCATGAGCTTTCGTGAGCTACAGCTCACTTCATCGGATGCATACCGTGGAAACTGCAGAAGACATTATATACACACAGAGACCATGAAGCAATACCTCCTCCCACCCCACTGTCCTGCTGGTAATAGCTTATCTAAAGTGATCATCAAGTTGGGCCATTTCCAGCACAAATCCAGGTTTTCTCACCCTCTGCCCCCCCCCCCCCCACACAAACTCACTCTCCTGCTGGTAATAGCCCATCCAAAGTGGCCACTCTCTTCACAATGTGTATGATAATCAAGGTGGGCCATTTCCTGCACAAATCCAGGTTCTCTCACCCCCCTCCAAAAAACCACACACACAAACTCACTCTCCTGCTGGTAATAGCTTATCCAAAGTGACCACTCTCCCTACAATGTGCATGATAATCAAGGTGGGCCATTTCCAGCACAAATCCAGGTTTTCTCACCCCCCCACCCCATACACACACAAACTCACTCTCCTGCTGGTAATAGCTCATCCAAAGTGACCACTCTCCCTACAATGTGCGTTTGCACTGTAGGATTCTGTTTATTTTGTTTGATTAATTCCATAAAATATTAGCTGATTTTACAAATAAAAATACTGTTTTCGTAACTTCCAGACCCATAAATTCATCTGGGTTTTGAGAGTCAAGCTGGGCTCTTTCCTCCTAAAATAATATCAGTAATTATAATACCATAGGCCAATATACCCTTAGTTTTACCTGTGCAATCCCACTATCTTCAAATTATGCATTATAAATAAGAACACATGCTCAAGGCTGTGAAGAAAGATTTCTGAATGTGAAACAATGCAGGGCTATCTTCTTGAGTCTCCAGAGACAGCATGAAATAATAGGCCAGATTCCATGATTGCCTACAATATTGTAAATCCGCAGTGATTCTAATCAATTCAATTAAGATAGATTGGTGTAGAAACTAGTGTGAGAAGCAACTCAGGCCCAAAGCTTCGACAGGTATCAACTTAACTATCAGCAAAGATAAGTCTGGCAGGGAAGTGGGAGAAAGACTTAAGCCCTTTTACACTAGTGCAATCCAACTGCAGCATGGATTTGCACTGACACAGCTTAGGTGTAGCTACATCAATATAACTACATCAGTGCAAATAAGCCCTTACATATCTTAGCGGGCACTTGGCATGGTAGAGAAATTGGGTATGAGAGAAACAAACCCAGTCAGGGAGGGCTTCAATACTTCCCACAATAGGAGCGCTTTAACAATTATGTTCTGTTTCCCCTATCAGAGGACCAACCAACCAAACCAAATTGAGGAGAAAGAATTAGGTTAAGGACAATTCTAGAAAACAAGAATGTTGTATACATTCCATGCAAGGCAGAGTTTATTGGGGAAACTTAACAGGGGCCTGTGGTTGGCACTCAAATTCTGTTAATCCATTGACTACATGTGCCTGAGTATTACATAAGTGAAACTCTAGTTAGTTAGCAACTGACCTTGTCCAATCAGAGTAAGTAAATAACAATAATATTTTGATATCTGTAACACTATACTATCAGAGCATCTCAAAGCAATTTACCAACAGAAAATTAAGGCTCACTTCACCCCTGTGAGGTAGGTAAATGCTATTCCCTTTTTCACAAGCACATGGAGGGTAACAGACACTTGTGTGCCAGGGACTAACTTCAGTTCAGCCTCTTCCTCTCTTGGCACAGGTCTCATGGGATGCACTATAAAACTGACTGCTTTAGAGGCAGAGAGGATGGAGAATGCCTTTAAGAAGGTGGGCTTCACACTAAGAGATCAAAGAACTACACTGAATTCCTCTGCTGTCTGATTAGGTTAAATTATTACCTTATAAACTTAAGGAAAAGATTTTGCTGACTCTCACTATTTTTTTCTGCTCAGTTATTCCATCTAGTTACAGTCAAAGGTCACAAAAATCCATAACACTTCAGGGAACAGAACCCAGATCCCCTGACACCCCACCTTGTGCTTTAATCGCAAAATCATCTTTCCCCTCAAATGACAAGAAGATACTACAGCAATACCTTAGAAATACATATAAGTATTGGTAATCAAAAAAAGGAAAGCTGCCCATTCTCCTGCCAGGTTGCTTTGGTTTCAGCTTTGATATGTGAAAAGTATAACAAACGAGCTAGATCCATGTTCAAGGCAACCATATTTTAAAAATGAGAAATAAATTGATATGAAGAAGAAACAATGCACGTGCTCCAAAATCATATTAAGCCTCTCAAAATATTTGTTTTTATGGTTTTTGCCCACCTCGTTTCATGGCCCTGGGGCTACCTGGGCCACTTCTACTTCGAGAGTCTGATTCTGAGGTCCGCGAGCTGGATCGGGAGCTGTCTTCTTCCTCTGATCCCGAAGAGTCATCTAAGAATGGGCTGTTGCTTATTTGAGTTGCTTTCTACAGAAATTAACATACATTCTTTGAAACTTTATGCAAAATATACTACTTTATGGATGTATTTATTTTATTGGCTTTTAAAACAGCCTACTTCTGCAACCGGCACTATAGATGCCTACCATGCTAAAGATTTAATTGCAACAATTAAAACAAAGCAAAACCAAACCAAACCACTACCACCGATTATATACAACACGCACAATAGAGGGTGGTATAAAAACTAAAATTATTGGCACTAGCATTGTTGCCAGGAAATCTTGCCAGGACAACTACCACCAAGAGATGTAAAACGAACCCAAAAAAATGCAAATTAATCCAGCTTAAAAATACCTAAACTTTACCTTGTGCCCCAATACTCACCAAACTTTCTCTCTGGTGCACCAACAGGGAAACATGAGTACGAGGATGAGTATATTTCACTTTACAAATAAAACTCACAGGGCATGATTTAGCAGCCACCTATGGTCTAAGTTCTGGCTGAAGGTGTGCACTACTGCCTGTTGGAGAACCTGTGTTCTGGCAGACTGAGGTGGAGGTTAGCTACCCCAAAACTATGGTGAGGCTGAAATTAACACTGAGGGAATGTTCTGAGGCAGGGCTAAAAGTGAGGCAGCCACTGATCCAACATTAAACATCCATGTAGGGATGACTCCTGTTTTTGGCAGGAATCATTTGCACAGCAGGATGTGTGTGGGGTCACTCCTTGACAAAATACAGACACACATTAATGCTGCCTTTGCAGCATGTGTGTCTGCTAGGGTTGCCAACTTTCTGACCAAACAAAACCAAACGCCCTTGCCCCGCCCCTTCTACGAGGCCCCACCCAGCACATTCCATATCCTCTCCCGCTGTAGCTCACTCTCCCCCACCCTCATTCACTCATTTTCACTGGGTTGGGGAGGGTCCCTTTTCGACCAGGTGTTCAGTTGAAAACTGGACACCTGGCAACCCTAGTTCTGCCAGTTTCATCAGGAAAGGGTACTCTGTTCAATTACAATATTTGGCTTTCTATGATATGATCTTGTACATTCAATAGTTACACTGCAAGTAATGGGCTTTGTGCAGGGGGCAATCAGTTGCAACAATCTGTAGCGATCAGCCCTCCTTGTCCCAGATTACAAAATGCCAGTGGAGACACTTCAAAGATCCTACTGCAGCCTTTCATGGAGGGGGAGGGTTTGGCTGGTGGCTCCCATTTACCTCAGGTCCACGAGTCACATAGTCACATCCCAGCAGTCTGCCCTGCCACACCCCAAATTCCTCTGCATGCTACAGCAGATAAAGCTCTCATGCAGCACAGCTCCATGGCATATGGAGGATGGGGATGGCCTTTATGGACTCTTAGCATCTGCATTACCTCTGCACAGCACTGGAACTCGACTGGTTCCACTGCATTTAGATTGGACTGCAGTTCTTTCTTGGGCCCCAGGATTCAGCACATAAGTAGCAATATACAACTGAAACCCCCCCAACACCTATCTATTACATCATTTCTGTTTAAAAACATACATCTCTTCAAATTACAAGAGGTTGCCAGGAAACAAATAATGTTCTGATTAGATTCTGCAAGCTTCTGAAAACAAATAGCTTTGGGGTTGACACAAAGACCCTTCCAGATCTAAATCTGTAATTACAGCATTGCAACCAGTGCAGCTCTTTCAATAATTAACAAGCCCTGGGAAAACCAGTAAGGGCCACAACAAAAATTGACACAGGCTTGTAACACTTTATAAGCAACAATAATTTATTTTCAGGACATTTGACATTTCCATTACTTCTGGATTTTTTACGGTCTCTAAACATGATCTTATGACAAATTTGGCAAAGTGCCATCAAGCATAAAATGCCAAGTTCTTGAATGTGGAGCTTAACAGTATGGCTTTTCACACAACTTCATTTTAAACAACAATAAGATTACCCCTTTCAGAGTTGTGTAGACTGGAGTGGTCATGTTCTTGTATATCAAAGAAGTGTATAGTCCAGATATGGTATACGAAGCTATAGAAGCAGTACCTGAAATACATAGCATAAAACACATTTCTTTAAAATTGCCCTCCAAAATTATTTAAAACATTTGGTTGGATTCTGATGTCACAGCACTGTAGTGTTATTGTCTTCACTACAGTTACTCCTAAATTATACTGGAGTAATGGCGTATGAGAAAATCATAATTAGGACCACTAGTCTTTTTGTAATGTAAGTACATTCTCTCTCTTTTGATGTCTGGTTATATAATCATCAAGAATTCCAAAGAAAGTTATAGTGAATTAAGGACTATAGTGAATTTGTACTTAAGAGGCAAGTATTCAAGAATAGGTGATAGAAATAATGAAAAGGTTAAATCTGTTTGACCATATCATAAAGAAAAAATCCAAAGAAATCTTCAGAGGCATATTTTAGAGGCATCTGGGACAACTGGCCCCTTATAAATTACAGTAAGCAGAGGATTTTGGCTGTTGGTACAAAGACCCACTTACTTTTGTTAGAAGAGTCCATGTTGAAAGCTTCAGAGATTCGTAAACCTGACTTGGCTACAGCATAAATTCTGCTTTCCTAACATAAAAGCAGAGATGTTTTATTGTAGATATTAGGAAATGAAAGGTATTTCTTCCTCAAACCTCCCCTTTGCCCTCACACTGCTATAAATATGTGATATAGCAGAGTTATCAGTGGCAGCTGAAATGTGACGTTGTCTACACCATGCACCAGACCAGTGGTCTTTCAACCTTTTCTCATACAACTGTTGCCTGTGTACTAGGGAGTTCTTTGTTTTGAATACAAAAATCAGTTCCTCAAAGAATAACTGGGGGAGAACATTCTATACTAGAAGAAGACTAGAAGTTCTCTACAAAGGGAGGCTACGGAAGTAGCTTTTCACCAAAAGCTTTTCAAACTATGGTAGCAAAAACCCGTAACGAAAAACTTCACATGCACAAACTGTTAAAGTAACATTAAAGTATAGTTCATCTCTGACCTAACCCCACAGTACCAACAGGCCAGGTACTTGTATTACCCTATAATTTCAGATTCTGCACTAGGTGGGCATAACAAGATAAATCATTGGCAAGAGAAGACTTTACATTCTCAGGCTGGAAGGAGCTGGCTCAGAACTAAATAATTTTAAGGAGAGGACTAAAACAAATTATTAAAGTCTGACCCCTTGTGTCATGATGTAAAATTTGTATATTAATTTTCTTACACGTTAAAACAATTTGTTTTAAATATCTCAATGGAATTGTAAAATTCTTCTGTAACCAGTGAATTACTACTACTACTACTACAGATTGAGAAATTTCTCCGAACAACTAACAGGACTAAAAACTTCTTTAAATATGGTCTGTTGTGCCAAACTATATTTACAATTATCTAATTCACAAATTATTGGCCTGGATTGTATTGCCTAGTTTTTAGAGCAAAGCACTTGGAACCAGGACTCCTAGGTTCTATAGTCATAAAAAAAAAGGTCAGTGGTTAGAGTCATTATCTAGTTGTGTGTACACAAATGAACACATGAAAATTAGATATGACTTTTTCAAAAATTGGTTCTCTACATACAAAAAAATGGCCATACATTTTTATATGGCATTTTAAAAGCAAAGAGCTCATTAGCCCATGAATAGGAGAATGGCTGTTGAATGTATGCAATTTAAATATTTCACTGATATGATTTACTCCATATTCTTCTGCAAGAGGAAAAAATACAAGATCCTAGAATAGTTATTAAAATTGAACTTGCTTCTGAGGAGTAGATAATCTCAGTTGGTATTAAAACAACAAATCATATTCCCACCATAGACACAGGTAATGAGAAAGGTACAGGAGAGAAAAGTGTAATAAAAGCAACAAGATGAGTTAATTTAAATCAGTAAAAAATATTTAATTATATTTACCCAGGAGGGGAATCGATGCAGAGGAGGAGTAGGGGGTTTGTTGCTAATTGCCTTCCTTGTTATATCACGGGACTCCTGGTCTTCTTCACTCTGTGCCTCAAAAGAGTCATAGGTAAATGCTCCATCATAATCAATCTCCATTTTCTCTAAAATGTCAGTATTTTCCCCATCCACCAGGTCGATGTCTGTTTCCTGAGGTCTCAAGGGCCGTACCATGCTTATAGCATTTCTATTTCTATCAGACACTCTGTCGGAACTCAGCTGGGGTTGGCTTAAGTGCTTTTTTGCCAGTGCTGCACTTACACTGAAAACGTTGGGAGTCCGTAACTTTGGAGGGGGCAAATTTGATGGAGAATTTGATTGTGTCACACACTGAGAATCTGTTGAAGGTGTCAGGACTGGATGCTTAGGTATTAGAGCAGGGGTTAAAATTGGACTTGGGGTATTTGCTTCACTGGATGAGGATGAATAATCTAATCTCTGAGACTGAAACTTTTTATTCAGTTCATCTGAAGAGCTATCTTGGCCTTTTCTGTCGAAGGCCTCAGAATTGCTCTTTCCAAGTGGATTGGACTGACTTTTCCGCTGAGATCCTTGCTGCCAGGAATACAGCATTTTGTGCTCGGATCTCTGAACTGCAAAACTCTCCTCTTCAAATAGAGAACTACTGTCGTCAGATGCTGTCAAATACATTTCACTCCCAATTCTGCTGTATCTTGTGCTTTCTTCAGATGTCTGACTTGAAACGGTAGATGCACGCCTGGATTTTGGTCTTTTATTACCTCCTTCATCCTCATCTGAGCTCCAGTCACTACCTGTAATGCATGAGTTCTTTGATATATTACTATCTATATCTTTCGATGAATAGCTTGTTCTTGCATTTTTATTTTGTTCTGATCCACAGGAGCTTTGTTGCAATGACCTCTGACCTTTATTGCTCTCATGTGCAAGAGCAGCACGGGATATTTTCTGGATTTTTTTCTCTAGAAAAGAAATACATGAGTTTGACAGAATTACTTTTAATAAAATTAGCTGTTAAAGCAATTTATAATCAGAACTGCAAGTTTAATGTAGTTAAAGTTAAGTTCATTTAATTTTTGGTGGATGTTGTAAAAATAAACAAAAATATTTGTCGGCAAATACTACACATATTCTGGAATGTCAATAGGGATAGTGATGAACATATACTTGAAAGAAAGTAGAAATGGCATTTACCAAGGAACTGTAACAGAAACCATTCTTATATTTAGTGGTCTATCCAAAAAACTAAGAATACTAATGATGAATGTAACAAAAAGGGAGAGCAAGATGTGCCAAACTTTAAAAGAAACCAGATATGTAAGAATTTTTATGCTGAAGAGGACATATGCACTTACCCACATTAATAGATCTTAAAGATTATAAAGCTTTTCAAATGTAGGAAGGAAAAAGTGTGAAGATTAGATTGAGAATCAAAATATTCTGAGTTTCTATGTTATAGTTAGAAATCCCTTCTGCATGCCACTGTTTCACTCCCAGTGCTGAACGCTTAAAACCCACTGAAGTCTCATGGAAAATGTTTAGGAAAAGACATTCTGTTCAGATATAACTCTGCTTGTATTGTCTGTAACTCTTTCCCCCATTTTTGTTATTACATTAAAACATGATCATTCAGAGTTAGTGTATAGCACTGTTGTCTAGAGGTTAGAATAGGATACTTGGACTCTGGGGAGTAGGTTCTGTTTCTGACCCTGACACTTAAATCTTTGTCCTTCAGTTTCCTTATCTGTAAAAATGAGATACGTATCCACTTTTGTAATGCACTTTAGGATCCTTGAATGACAGCATTTATATAAATATTATCTGTCCCAACTGCTCATTTCCTATTTGGGACATGACAATTAGCAGCTGTAAAGAAAATCTGATGTCACAAGCAAAGTTTTAAGACTTCATATGGGGAATAAGAAGCAGGAGTAACTACTCTGTTTTCTCAGGGAGTCACGGTCTCCCTGCTGCTACAAAGAGGAAGTAAACTACACTGTGTCTATATCTGTCACAGCGTACTCACCCCAACATGTTGGCATATCTATATCACTGGGCACATTGCGGTGGGGAGAGGGTGCAGAATGGATTCAAGATGGTGCAGTTGCAGGAAATGGTGGTAAAGTGCACAGGCACAAGGGGAAGGAGGTGTCTTATGCTACTGCTTCTTTGCGCTAGTATTCAGGGTAACCCATTATCTCACCCATTTTAATTACAATACGCTGAGTTTACCTTGCTGCGCTTGGGTTTAAAATTGACATTAGGACAGCAGTGCTAACATATAGAAAACATATGGAAAAAGTGAATGCAAAACTTTGAATATTTAATTTAGCTCATTCCTTCATGAACTTTAAAAAGAAATCTTGGGAAGTCAGATCCTAATCTTGCAGTTGAAACCAAAGGGGTGGAGCCCTGCACCTGTGCAAAGCCCAGAGACCTGTGAAATTCTGCAAAGTCAAAGGTCAGCCACAGCAGATCAAATTGTAAGACTGGGGCCTTAATACTGTTAGATGCTCTCCCTACCTAGAGTATGTTAATTAAGAATTTAAGCTGAAAAATTAATAAAATGAAGTCTTAAACCAAGTAATATATATCCATTTAGAAACAGATTAAACATATATTTAGATGGATTTCATTATTTTTTCTTGTCAACTAACAGCTCTGAGTATATCCCCTCATTACAGTTTTACACCCTCTTTTGCACTACAGGGCTGCATCTTGTTTTTTGATATTATTGAAATTAATGAACACTACAGAATAAATGGGGATAATCTTTTGGGCAAGGCCCAAAAGCAACCTCCTCTTCTAAAGGCTACAGCAGTGATCCATCAGCATATGCACACAGCAAAATATTTAAGCAATATACTAATGCTACATCAGAAGATTTCTAATAATACAGACGGTCTTGTGAGACAGATGAGTGCGAAAAGCTGTAGCTCACAAAAGCTTATGCCCAAATAAATTTGTTGGTCTCTAAGGTGCCACAAGTACTCCTTTTCTAAAGGCTACACAGTGTCCTATCTGAAAGTCCTTTTGTCCTATTTTGAAGAAGACTATTCCTGAACATAGCTATGTTTAAAGCAATTTTAATTTTCCACTAATTTCTTCCAGAATAAAATTAGATCAGGGTTAAATACCTAATATGTTATTACCGTCACTCAATTCTGATTCTTTACTTGATGATTTGCTTATTTCATCAAATTTAATAGCTTGCTGAGGAGTTCTTGCTCTGTTCAAAAAGCATCCAAAAGTCAAACTGCTTAGTTGCTGGCCTTCCCCAGGTTTACGTGTTGAAGGGACACTTTTCTTCCCCATAATTTCTGCAAGTGTAATAATTCATAAATTTAGTGTTAACATGGCATATGCTAATACGTTTTACTCTTACACAGTCTTATTAAGTAATATTATCATTTTTAAAAACCATAATAAAACTAAATATTTTGATATTAGAAATAAAAACCTTCTTGAAATCCTCTCCATACCAAACTCGCAAACTAAATTTCCACTTACTAAAGAAATATGATTCTCCTTCTAGAAAGTAAAGAGGGGAGAAAAACTATTTCTTTTAAAATGTTTACAACAGAAAGGTGTGTTCTGAGAGACAGAGTAAAAAAGATAGTGACTATAAAGTCACAGCAGAATAACCTTGGGTATTATGTTTGCAGTTCAGCCTACATATCAATCCAGTATACACCTAAACATGATAAAAGCAGACCAACTTTAAACATGCGAGGATTTAAATGGGTACCATATTGCTTCAGATTTTCAAGGGATAATTGAGAAGGATAGGTCTAAAGTTAAAATTAGGCTCAACCTAATGACACTTTCTAAAAATAAGTAGGGTCACTCTCTTCTAGAAAAGGAAAATGTTCACTAATCATAGCCAGGAAACTCTTTGCGACAAAAACTATAAACTGATAGCTTTAAAAAAAATGTAGCAACTCCTGCTCTAAACACAAAAAGAGGAGTAAAAAGAGAGAACTGTCAAGATCTTTGTGATAAGAGTCCTCCCAAAATGGCTGGATAAAAAGGCAGAACTGGATTAGATGCCCTATGGTACAAAATATAGCCACAATAGTAGTAACCTAGGAAATACACATAATGGATCTTCCGGATCACCAGGGGATAAAGAGCACAATTAAGGAAGACAAGGACATTATTAAGAAGCTACTCGGTTTCTTTGCATCTGAATTCACCACAGAGGATGATACCTACCCCAGACCTGCTCTTTTCTGGTAATAAAGACAAAATACTATCAGACATTGAGATGTTAGAAGAGGTGCTGGAACAAATTGATCATTTAAAAAAAAATAAATTACCAGGCCTGAATGGTATACATCTATGAGTACTGAAGGAGCTGAAGTATGAAGTGGCTGAGCAGCTAGCAAAAATGTGCAAGCTCATTAAAAACAACTACTTTGCTAGAAAACTGGACTATTTTAAAAAGTTCTATGGGTGATCTGGGAAAACAGAGATCAGTAAGCCTTACATTATTACCTGGTAAATGGGTTGAAACAATAATTAAAAATTATAATAAAACATCTGAAAGATCATGATCATTGATATGATAGGATCTAACCAGAATGGTTTCTGCAAAGAGAAATTGTGTCTCACTGATCTCTTAGAGCAGGGGTGAGGAACCTACGGCCCATGGGCCGGATCCAGCCCGCTGCTTCATTTAATCTGGACCACAGCAAGTGTCCGTGCTGTGAGCCAGAAGCCCTAAGCCTCGGTGCTCTCCCCCGCCCCCCTGAGGGGCTGGAGCCGTGAGCGCTGGCTTGCCCTGTTGCAGGGGGAAGATGGGGTTGCCAGGCTGTTAAAAGTTCGGTCGGCTCTGTGCAGCTCCCAAAAGTGACCAACATGTCCCTGTGGCCCCTAGGCAAAGGGATGATCAGGGAAGCTCCTCATGCTGCCTCCGCCCCCAGTGCCACCTCTGCAGCTCCCATTGTCCAGGAACCACGGCCAATGGGAGCTGCAGGGGTGATACCTGTGGACATGGGCCGTGCACACTTTGCAGAGCCCTCTGGCCCCTCCGCCTAGGGTTCGGACATGGCGGCCACTTCTGGGAGTAGTGCAGAGCCGACCGAGAGCTGCCTGAGATAAGCGCCACCTGGCCGGAGTCCGCACCCCAAGCCTCCTGCCCCAGGTCAGAACCCCCTCCTGCACCTAAACAACCTCTCAGATCCTGCCCCCGCATCTCCTCCCGCACCCCAAACCCCAGTCTTGAGCCCACTTCTGCACTTCAAACCCCTTGGCCCCAGCCCGGAGCCCCAACCTGCACCCTGAATCCCTTATTTGTGGCCCCACTCTGGAGCCTAGGGGAAGTCCCAAGCCTCTGCACCCCCCCATTGGGCTGGAACTGCAAGCGCTGGCTCACCCCTCTGTGGGGGGAAGCCTTGAGCCTCCACGCCCCCCCACAGGGCTGTGTGGCCCGCGACTGATTTTTTCTGTGGGTCAGTGGCCCCTGATAGAAAAAAGTTTCCCCACCCCTGTCTTAGAGATCTAAGGATGTCAGTAAAATAGTGGATAAAGGAGAACCAGTTAACATAAGTTATTTAGAATTTCTAATGGCCTCTTACAATGTCCTTCACAAAACACTACTAAAGAAGCTAAGTAGTCAGTGGTTGAAAGGCAAAGTATTGTCATGGATCCAAAACTAGTTAAGAGACAGAAAATTACGGGCTGGAATAAACAGTCAGTTTTCATCATGGCAAAAGGTTAACAGTTGGGTGTCTCTAGGTTCCATGCTAGGTTGTGAGTTATCTAATATGTTAATTAAACATCTGGAAAGGGAGTTGAGTAGTAAAATAGCAACATTTGCACATGACAAAGTTACTTAGGTTAGTCAGGTCCAGGGAGGACTGTGAGGAAGCTTGGTGAGACCTAAAGAAGATAGGTGAATTGGCAACGTGATGGCAAATAAAATACAGTGTTGATAAATGCAAAGTAATGCACAGTGGAAGAAAAAAATTAAATACTCAGACATCTTGCAGGGTTCTTAATTAATTGTATCAACTCAGGAAAGGGACCTGGGTGTCACTGTAGACAACTCAATGTGTGAAGCTGCGGTTAAAAAAAAAAACCAAAAACTGATCAGAACTCTGATCCTCAGCATGGCATAGACTGGTGGGACAGTTCCACAATGATATCCACCTATCCTTAAATGTTTCAAAGTCTACAAATCATACAATTAAACAAGTCAAAGGGAGGATATGAAAGAATCCAACCCAATCAGATTATTTGAAAACTTATTTAAGAAAATATTGATACATTCAGAAACAAATAACTATAAAGGTCCAAATAGTTCTTGCCTTACTCATTCACATATAGTCCCAGCAAAGTCTGAAGTCAAAGGGTCCATGGGACAAATTCCCACTGAAATCAAAGTATTCCATGAGACTACTATGCATAAAGTGAGCAGGATTTACTCCCAAGCATTACTATACAAAACTTAGAGCAAATTTCAAAGGACGTGTGCTATTTACCTTGCAGTTTAGACTGCATTGTTCTCATCTCTTCATTTTGGTTTTGGTTGATCAAGCGAAGGTTCTGATTTTCTACCTCTAACTGAAAGGATATAAATTTAAGCTCCTCCATTAGTGAAACAATTTTTCAAGTCGTTACATTGTGAGGGAAGACACAATTTTCTTGCCATTTCCTTTTGAGCTAAATAAGAGCAGTAGCAGGGCTAATCTTAATTGAGGCCTAATATTATGGATTTGTTTCTTCAGAATAGTATGCGTTTTCTATGATAAACACTCTTCCCACTTTTGTACTTTAAGTATATAGCCATTTAACTAGCTTTATATGTATACAGAAATGTCAATATATAATAATTCACATATTAGGTACTAAAATATTTCACTTTATGCTAGATTGGCTTTTTACTTTTAATTGCAATTCAAAATGCATAAACATGAGGGTAGGAGCAAATGCTGGGTGCCAAAAATGGCAGCCTGTGGCCCCAGAGGGCCTTTTATTACCCCAAGTGAGAGGCAAGGAGAGACAATGGGTCCCCCTTGGGTCTTCCAAACCAAGGAATAGCGAGTTCTAAGCAGAGACAGTGCTACCCCAAAGCCACCCAATACCCGCATGCTCTGCTCACATGAGCACTTTGTGCAACTGAAGGGGGAAGAGGGAAGCACAGCACCTGTCCCTACGAAGCCCAAGAGTGGCCATCCCCCATGCTAGCCTAATCAAATCCCCTTTTCTCTCATGCCTTCGCTGAGACAGGGAATTTTGAGGTTTTTTTTCCTTTTAAGCCTAATAAATATAGGACCACAAGAAAATGGTAGACATTTTTCACCGAGATCTCTCTCCTTGTATGACACAGAAACTCTGTCCAGTTACATTATGTGTTCGCTGTACTGTAAATATCATAGGAGACATACCTCATGGAGCTTGACTGTCACCCATTCTTTTATTTTAGCTGCTTTTTCTTCTATGATTTTTGCCTCTTGTATTCTGATTTGCTTCTGAAACAGTAAGACAAAATATATTTTCCAATGTGTATATCATACCATCTAAGGAGCATCTTAGGATGCAAATTCTGTAGATTACTTCTAGCTATGTTTCATCTCAGTCTCTTTGCCACTAGCATACAACACTTGGTAAATTCTTTGAACAAACCCTTCATGGGATTTTTCACATGGGATGCTTTCCTACTAGGTAAAGTGAAAATCTCTCTCAAAGGGAGACCTGGAGGAGGAAAAATGTCTCTCCAGAGTACATCCTACTTACCAATCAAATGTTCTTACAAAGGAAATCTCATCTCAATTTGAAAATCTCACTCCTATGACCCACCACAACAACTGAAAAAAAAAATCTTCCTGTAGACAACTACGTCTCAGCCCCACTTCCTGTAGGAAAGATCAGTTGAGTTTGCTCCTCAGTCCAGACTCGTAATTTAACATGTGATGTATTACCTTTACAGCATCAGGCCATTTATCAATAATCAGATCATGAAAAAGTTTTAAACTTTCCTCACTTATACCATTCTTTACTTTTTTATACGCACAATTAAGAGTCTATGAATAACATGCCTTTTGGTCACCGAATTATTCCTAACCTGTTCTTCAAGTTGTTGCTCCAAGTTTTGTATAATGTCATCTTTCTCCTGTACCAGAGTCTCCAGATCTTGACACCTCTTATACAATCTGGTCTCCGATTCGCTAGTCTGAACATTAGCTGCTTTTAACTTCTCTTCCATAATCTGTACCTGTTCAGCAGGTGAAACACAACACCCTATGTAAACTTTAATCATTTAATCATAAAAGTCATAATAAAATTTACCATATATTAAAGGCCCAACCCAGTGCTGCAAAATGCTAAAACAGATCAGAGATGAGAGCATTTTGTAGATCTTTAGCCAATAGTACTGCAAGGGCACTGCTAACACTTAGAGGTTTTGTTAACATCATTTCTAACTTCTGCGTCCATAACAAATAAAACTATTAGAGATAGTAAAAGGGGAAGAATATGATGACTATCTTGGGAACACTTACCTCCCTCATATGATTGTTATGAGGCTTAATACAGGTCTGTGAAGTCTTTTGAAAGTCTTGCTTAAACACAGCACACATGAAAAGAATTAGTATTATTTTATTAAAATTATGACTCTTATAAAGATCTTGCTCATAGTCAATGAATGCATTCTGATCCAAGTCACCAAGATCCTGAATGAGAAAACACTCAGAACATGCTTAAATCCATTCCAAATCAAGAGAGCACTAACAATGTGCTTAGAGTTACACATAAACTGAGATGCTTTCTTGAACAGAGGCCAGAGACCATATCCAGGATTTTTGTCTAATTTTCAGGGTTATTGCTTAAACGGTTCTTGGATTATATGCTCTTTTAGGCATAGAGACTGTCTTCTTCTGTGTCTGTAAACACCTGGCACAATGTGGCCCCATTTTTGATTGAGGCCTTTGGGTGCTTCTGTGACATAAAAAAATCAATGCTGAATTCACTCAAATATCAAATATCAAAATGGGAAAGAAATAATTGTGGTATATATAGCCTTTTAAGGCTTGACTAGACCTATCTTTGCTCCCTGAGTCAGATGTTTAGTGTTTATACTAATTTATAAACAAAGAGAAACAATTTACAAAACCCAACTGCAGAACTTGCTCACTTTCAGCAGACCACTGTGTTCAGCCTTGAAATGCTCTTCCCACTGCTCATATAAACATAATTCAAATTCTAGCGTGTGAGAGAAGAGCTGAACTTGGGCAACAGACACTTTTCACCAAAGAAAATGAAACCATAAATCCTTTCAGCACTGTTAAAGAGAAAAGACAGCATTCACTATCGATGAATCACTAATATATATGTACAGACAGACTAGCAAAGGCCGGGAAACAGTGATTCATACTGCTCCCAATTAACAATTCCTGTGTGCTTTTAAACTGATTTTTTTAAACAGTAAAGCAAATTGGGAGATTCATTAGTGGAGTACAACAAATTGAAGCTGAGAACATACAGCTTCTGTGCAAACCAAGGGCTTGGTCTTGCAATGCAATGGAATACCCTCAACTCCCACTAAGTTCAATGGAAGTTGATGGTCTTGGCAAAGCTCACAGGAAGTGGCCTCACCTTGTAGGCTTAGACTCCTACTATTTTGTTTGAGGAGATCTATGTGTGTATTTTAATTACTGCAACAATTAATGCATGCATACCATATGAAGTGATTTTTTTATGCTTTTACACTTTATATTACTAAATGATTTCATTTAATTTTTGATGCACATTCTTATATGGCATTGTTTGGGTATCCATCAGGGACACTGGTTTAGTCACTAAAACATCTTCATTTTGGGACAGCAGAGACAACCTAAATTTCATATGTGGACTACTTAATCCCATGGACTACCAAAACTTTAAAAGAGGGCTCAACATTGGAGAATTCTCCTATTTTTACTTGAGAATATGGCTCTAAGGCACAAATATGTTAATTTTATATTTTTATGGTTTTGCTATTGTCAGGACTGTTTTCTCTCCCTTTTGCTTACATGTTAGTTTTACATTTGCATCACTAGAAAAAGATACAGAAGAAAAATACTGAACAAACAGAGAGATTCAAGACATGCACTTAATATTTGGTTTGATAGGTTTGACTATACGTTAAGACAGACCCATAACTGGGTGGCAAACCAAGATGTTACAACATCTATTAGGAAACATCTAGAGTGGGACATCTTAAAATATATTATCCTCTCCTTCTTAATACTAGTTAAGGAATATAGTAATATTTCTGAGTCACCTTTGCTAACACTGCTCTAATATGCCCTCCAGCAACAGCTATCAGACATACTGTACTTCTTCAATTTAAATGTACCTGTTGAAAAGCTCTCTCTGCTTGACGATCTGCATCAATAACTTGTCTCTCAAGTTGCTGCATCTGTATATACATATAAAACAGCATGTCATAAAATGTGCACTCCTTTTATAAGCTGCCACCAAAAGCTCCACAATGTAAGATAATTTCATATCCTATTTAGAACAAAAAATCTAATATGACCTAAAAAAATAAAACAAGTAAAAGTTAGGACAAGTTGCATTTGAGACTGGGGAAATAACCAATACATGAGCATGATATCAAAATATTCTTGAGGTTCTGCTAAAGTAGGGAAATTCAGTAAAAATTATCTTTATAATAGATCCTTGTGGCTAACTTCTGTACCATAATGGCTCTTCCCCACTACCATGTAGTAGAAATGGTTTTGATAGTTACCCTTAGACCTTTAGCTCTTTTCTGTTCTTGAGGCCCAACCCTGCAAAGTGCTGAGCTCTCTTAGGTCCTATTGACATTAATAAGAGTCTAGGGTACTTCACACACTGCAGAATCAGGTCCCTAGTTCCTAGTAAAGTTGAAAACTCAGTCCTCAGGAAAGACCGTACTGGATGCAACATTCAAACACCATCTGACCGAGAGAGCACAACGGACACCAGAAAAATCTGTGACCTACTACAAGATAGTAGTCAGGTACTGCAAAGAAAAGTCTACTAATAACTGTGCTGAAATATTATTTTTGCTAGAACCCTTCTATCATTGTTTTCCTGATATAGGAATTTTTTTTCTGAGAACCAACTTATAAGAACAGGCTACAGAGTACCTGGGAAGACAAATATTTTTCAGCATGGTTTCAGGAGCTTGCTTCTGCAGAAATATTAAACTATTATTCCACACTGGTTGTCACTAGGACAGATGTGAGCCACAAGTGGACATGGCTTAAAGGTCATGCATTGACCACATGGGTCACTGTTCCTATATTATAGGTTACAGTCAAATATTTATGAGGATAATACCCAACCTCAGAATTATGACTTGAAAAGACTCATATACAAGTGCTAAATATTTGAAGAAGGGTTTATTCTTCCTACAGACAATGTCACCGTGTCTTGCTGGTACTCTATTTCTCTCATTTTCCAGATTCTTGGCTTTTTCAGATGTCAATCCATACCACCAGTAACAGATTTGTGTAGTTTCAGTACTTTGTACAGACAAGAATACACACTTGTCACTTGCTGTCAAACAAAAGGCAGGGAAATGAGAGAAGAGAAAGTTTGTACTAAACTAAGAAAAGCTGTCATTAACCTCTTAATATCTCCGCACTTTAATAATATTTTAAAAAACTTCACACAATCGCATGTAATATGAATCAAGGATTATAAAGTTATGATGGTTGGTACAGTGCAAATAACCATAACTGTGCTCCCACATAAGCTCTTTTGAAGGAACAGGATTATGCACTAAATGTTTAGACAGAGAGGTGAGGAGTTAAATACCAATTTGGAACAAATTGTGTTCCTTTTTGTCTGTGTAATTAAAACCAAAAACAAAACCCTGTTTGTCATTAATCTTGAGTTTTTTATCGTTAGGTTTTAAGTTTTATAATTTTGTATCCTAAATTTATTTTTCAGTTGTGGTTTTAGAATGTCTATTGAAGTATGAGATTAGTTTACAAAGCTTGCTTTAATAGGGCTGTTTAACATTTGCTTTCTTAATAAATTTGTAGTAAAGATTAATTTCAATGTTTGAGTACATTGATAGCTAACATCATGCACTACACTAACCTTTCAGTGATGACACACATTACATTACATAGTAATGAACATCTAACATTCTATTGGCAGTATGATAGAAAAATCTTTTAAGTATTCATAATGTGGCTTTACTGCAGATGAGTGGCAAACTGTCCAGAGTTTTCAAAAACTTGTAAACATAGGTGGAATACCAGTGTCAGTGTTTTGTGAACCACTAATACATATACCATAAGTAGACGTTCCAATTTGAACTTTAAACTAATTTTTACCAGAAAGAACCAGCCAAAAAGACTGGCACACATACCTACTATTTATATATACCTCCTATTTATATATGGAAATAAAACCTGGAAGTTTTGCTAGCCAGTTCTAATCATGCATCTCAACTGTCCTTCATTACAAGGAAAATACCTCATTAAATGACATCCATGCCACACAAACATGGCATGATTTCACTTTATCCTTTTGTAAATTATTCCTATCACAAATGCAAATTCACGAAAGTGATGTCATAGGAAATGTTTGTGATCAAACTAATCCCACATCATTTTGAGCTTCCTGTTTTATTATTTTTGTATCCCTGCTTGAGTTTGTGTCCTACATTTGGAAGTTGGCAGGAACATATCACATCAATGTAACAGATCTTCTACGTCCTCTTCCTTCACAGGATAGCTATAGCTGGGGAAGAAGCCAACATTTCACAAGTTGAGCTGTCTGATCATTTAGCCAGCCTTTGGCTTACCACCATTCCTGTCTAGGAAGCTGACAGACCAGAACAAACACATTGCATATAGTGTAAGCTGCAAAACCCCTAAGTTATACTGAGCTTTGCAGGTTCAAATTTATTTCTTGAACAAACTCCCACTCAACTTCTCAGAAAATAAAAGGCCTCAAGCCCTGAAAACAAAACACAGCCTCCTTACCCAATGTCTAATAATAGTACCATTATGTAAACAGCTAGACAATAGAACTGCTCTTCTGCACAGCACTTTACCATGAAATACAGGAATTATTCCCGCACCTCCATGCTGTTTCCAAGCATATGTAACACTATGCAGTGCTGGCTAGAGGACTATAAATACCTAGACAGAAGTTAGTGACATGAATAATATTACTTGAATAAAAGCTTTAGGTGTTGTTAAACTAAAAATAACAATCTGATGGAAATGACCTGACAAATTTACCGAGAAAAATAACGCTGAAAGTGTTAAGAATGTAATACTGTGATTAATATTTGCTTTTTGTAGAGCTGACTGAAGAAAATATGTTAAGTAGTTTTGCATGAGCTCACAATATAGATAAGTCAGCCAGCTTTCTGGCAGCAACTACACTTTGTTTTTGTAATTTGGAAACTTTCTGAAGGCTCTCAAATGTATGTTTGGCTGCTCCTGTGAAATAATACAACAATATATTCTGTACTTGATAATAATATACCACAGTGACCAAACTTTAGTAGTAGTTCTATTATATGGAACTGGCTAATGTTTCAATAGTTAAGGGCCAGATACCATTTCCTCAACAAATCCTGTTTTTTTTTTTCCTTCAGGGTTTATTGATTTAGGTTTATTTTAGAGAATCTACCCCAAACTTCAGGCATTCATATAACAATTGCAATAATAGTCATATAATAGGTACAATACAAATGTCAAAATTCAAAGTTCACACAAATAATCTGCTCAAAAACAGAATATCAGATTCCACTTGGAAGCTAAACAGAAGCCAGTGCAGACTCCGGAACAGGAGTATACTGTGCTCTCTGCATGAAGCACCACTTATGGAGACACAATCTGCTCCAATTTAGCTTATGGATGTGTAAGCGGGGGAATAGTCCCACTCTTGTGGGGAACTTTCCTGGTTTCTGCACTACCCCGGTGAAGTGGGCTAGCGAAAGGATCTCAGTCCTCGCTCCCACTTCCTTTACCCAGTGGCCTCCCTGCCCTTGAGGACTCCCCTTCCACTCTCCTGTCTGGCAGAGTCCTCGTAACCCCAACCAGGCTGGGCCCAGGATTCCTGGGGAGCTCGACCCCCAACCCTGCTGTGGTCACCTAGGACAGGGGCTAGGGTGTCCCCACTCCTGTCTGCACTGGGCACTTCTCTGACTCACTGACCATTACATACAAGTTAAAGCAAATGCAAGTTATTTAATCAACAATTAAATTTAAAAAGAATAAGGAAAAATGGGAAAGGTTAAAGGAAACACATCAACCTGCTCTGTGGGAGGGAACATCACAAACAGTGTCTCTGGAATGTCCAGGCAGTTCACAGTCTGCTCCTTATAAGTCCCAGGCCTTCTTCTCAGGCCCTGGCTGTGCTGCAGGGATGGTGCGGGTTGGACACTTGCTCTGGTGGTGGCCACACGCTCTCAAGCTCTAAGTGGTAAAACCCTTCTTCCCAGTGTCGTCCCCGCCCAGTCGGGGTTACAATCCAAGCCTGGCCTGCAGAGCCTCTTGGCTGAGGCGTCTCCCTGTGCTGGGCCCCCTGCCCAGGGTCCTCCTCGCTCTCCCCAGCTGCTCACCGCACCCAGCTCCAGACTGGTCCAGCCCCAGCTGCACCTCTCTGTCTCTGCTGCTCTGCCTCCAGTTCCCTGGGCTGCTTCTTTGGCTCCTCTGCCTCAGGTTGCTACAGCTCTGCTCCCAGGACAGGTCTGCTCTGCAGGCTGCTTCTGTGAGACTGCTCCCAGCACTGACCTGCTTCCTGGGCTGCTTCTCTGGCCCCTGTGGCTCTGGTTGCTGCAGCTCTGCTCCCAGGGCAAGTCTGCTCTCTCTGGGCTGTGCCTCTGGCTTTGGGGCTGCAGCTCTGCTCCCAGGACAGGGTCTGGTCCCTCTGGATCTGGCACACCTCTGCTCCCCAGCTTAGCTTGGGCCCCTGCTTTCTCCTTAGCTTGGCCCCACTCTGTCTGTCTCAGGCAAATCCCGCTCACACGGAGGACGGGACCTCCCTGGCCTCCTGACTCCCTGATTAGCCTGCCCACCCTGTCATTCAGGCTGACCTGGAACATTGGCCTCTCCCCATTGTTCCTGGGGACTGTCAGTCTCAGGGTCCTGATTTCCCATAGACCCTTCCCCTTTTAGTACTGGGAGCTAGCCAACCAAAACATCCCCACTGACTGTTAGCAAGGGGGCAACAGTCCCCTTACAGATGGATGGCCTGAAGATGTAGCCCCACACACAGGGCCATCCTTACCCATACACAAATTACGCAGCTGCGTAGGGCACCAAATTTCCTGGTGCCCTACGCAGCTGCATGCTGCTCCAGCCCCTGCTCCGCCTCTTCCCCATGCCCCTGGCCCTGCTCCGCCCACACCCTGCCTCTTCCCACCCCTGCTCCGCCCCCACTCCACCCCTTCCCCTGAGG